GACTGATACTATCTGGGAATCTGTACCTTTCACAGGGGAGCCACATTAGTTTGTTTCAATATACTTTTGAGACAACCAATGGCCTACTGTAATGATTGAAACATGTTTGAGGTCCGGGCGAGACCCGGCTGTCGATGCAGACTGCGTCAATGGCCCTGGGCACGGGCTTGGTCATAAAATCGAGCTGGGGGAACAAGGGCCCAGGCATGAACCACCACCGAATCCAACTTTTGCAATAAAAGATTTCTTTGAAACAAGTGTCGTTTTCGATTTTCATTCATCAAAGGAATAGGTATCCCCCACATCCATTGGAATTGTTTATCTGAGTCAAGGCACCTGCACAAAACATCTTACTAAGCTGAGGTGGGGACAGCTTCCGAGACTCTTCAAACAAGGTGCGGAGATTTTTCTGAAGCCTGAGTCTTGGGGAATTAGATCATTAGATGGATCGGGTCTAACCTTAAGGTGTGGGACAAACATTGGGGTGCAACTGGGTCACCCCTTGTTGAAACCATTAACCAACCCTGCGCTGTAGAGCTCACCAATTTTCTCATCCTTCTCAGTCAAGTCCTTGGTCAAATTCTTGACCTTGTCGAGCAACCTTGGTAACAGGTTTGCATGTTTAAACTCATGGGCGCCCATGCATGGTTTTAAACAGTTCCAAATAATTAGTTAACAAGGTTGCCGAAAAAACATTGGTCAAGTAGCTTTCCCTGGGTTTCGTTGATTGGCGAAGCTAGCCTTTCTTGGTGCACCCCAAGTTTGGCCAAGCGCTTTCCGATAGCTTTGGAAACCTTGATGACCAAAGAGGATGGTTGGATATCCCCTCTTTCCATGCCTGGTGGGAAAGCCACTTGCTTCAGGAGTTTGGCCTCATGATTGAAACCATCATCATCATCCTCACTCTCATCGAGGGGTTCATCTCCAGGGCTGGCATTACACGACTCACCTGCCAGGGATACCCAACAAATTTATGGTAGATTTACTAATTGGTACTAATTGGTTGGTTTAGAGCAGGCAGCATCTATGAATATTTCCCCTAAACAATCAAATTCAGTAAAACCACCAAACCTGCGGGACCAGGTGTGGAGACGCTAGCCATAGTGCAAGCAAGGTTAACCGAACCCACGCTTCCTGGAACTTGTGGGATCTCGTTGTCACTGGCATCCTCCTCCATGGTCTTCTCGAAGATGTTGCGGGTAGTGGTCCTTAAAGGTGCATCGAAATTTAAGAAGGACCCACCCAGTTGTAAAGGAATTCAACCGATAAGTTTGGCATGTCTGTGTATTTGTTTTGATCATGGGAAACAGATTTGTTAATAAACTAGCCAGTACAAGTTATGCATCATCACCGCTGTCATGCTGGTAACATACCAACAATGCAATGACATTTATTCTTGACGTAATCAAGTAACCCAACGTAACCCAACCCCCATGAGTCCCAACGACACCACATCATCCACTAAAGTTCTCTGGTTGGAAACATGTGTTGTGTTTTGGCTTGCTGGCAAGTTGCTTGCGCTGGCCTTTCTGGCTGATGATAACCCAGTACAAAGTGCCCTCTCCATATTCAGATTTCCTGGCCGGGTTGGGGTTGAAAAAGTGTTGCCTTTGTGTGGGCCACCACTCCATTGCACCTCGTGAAGCCAGGCTTGGAATCGCAGTGCTTCTTCGCCCCCTTGATCTTTCGCCTAAGAGCTGCGAGCAGGACAAAGGGGGCCAGGAAAGGTTCACCATGGCAATACCTGGGCTTGTTTCTCATGTCCCTTGTAAGATTACATTGTGCACAAGTAAGTTGGAATCTATATATATATATATTATTAAGGTTCAAAAGATAATGGATTTGGATAACCAAGCTACTCACTCCAACCTGCATCAACCATGTCTTGCTCACTGTAGAACTCGTAGTTGTCTTCTGCCGCAAACTCTTCAATTTTTTGGTAGATACGGGTGACTTTGGCAATGAACCGTTCCTGGTGCCCAAGGTGGTCTAGCATGGTTTTGGTGGCATTATAATTTGTTCACAGCACTAACGAGTTATAACGAATTGATTTTGATATGTTATGATAAGATGAATCCAGACTAACCCCGCCTACAATATAGATGCTCAATACTTACCTTAACAGATAGATCATGAATGGTTGACAAGGAAATCAGGGAAAACGGTTGGAACAAACATTTTTTTAACCCACAGTCCCGATCATGACCGCATCGTTCGAACATTTTCTTGACGTCATCTTTGTTCTTCTCGTACTGCTCCACCAATTGAGCCGGAACTTTGAGGGAACCATTCGATCTGGGGGTCATGATCCGGCGTAGCCGTTGATCCGCCGCTTGTTCTGACAAAAAACTGGGAGGCGTTGGGGTTTCAGCACCGAATAAGGCATCCTCATCAGTCAATCCAGTACCCTCATTGCCCGGTACCTGAACCACCTCACTGTCACCTGGGGCAACCGCCTCAGCTGGAGCCCCGCTGTCACCTGGGGCAACCGCAGGAGGAACCTCATCAACAAGGGTGTCATCGACCTCAGGCGCCGGTGGTGGCGAATAGTATGGAGTGGCATCAGCGTTGCCATGTGGAGCCGCAGCATTGGGCGATTTGTTCCAATAGCTGTCATCTTCCTTGGAAATGCAGGGCGGTATATATATATATATATATATATATGTATGTATATACGTATATGTACGAGTATATATATATACACACAGTTATTTAAAGAGCAAATATCACTATCCATCAATATCGATATCACATAAATATGTATAGCATATTTAGTATACATATTTGATATTTATTTCAATCAGATATGTAAAATATCAATATCATTACACATGAATACAGAACATATATATATATATATGTAGCCACCAAAAGGGGGTGGTATAATATATAGATCTCTCTATCTTTACCAATCTGCTTGTGAATGTAAAGAAATATCTATGCGTGTGGCATACCATCGATTTAAAAACAATCCTTCTAATTTTGTTGCCACCACTAAAACATTGTGCTTCCATTTTGGGACCACTAAAAAATATGCTTCAATGTTGGGACCACTACAACATTGTGCTTCCATTTTGGTACCACTAAAAAAATGCGCTTCCATTTTGGGACCACTAAAAAACTATGCTTCCATGTTGGGACCACTAAAAAATTGCGCTTCCATTTTGGTACCACTAAAAAATTGCGCTTCCATTTTGGGACCACTAAAAAAATATGCTTCCATGTTGGGACCACTAAAACATTGTGCTTCCATTTTGGTACCACTAAAAAATTGCGCTTCCATTTTGGGACCCCAAAAAAATTGCGCTTCCATGCAGGGACCTAAAAAAATGGCTCCACCTTTCCTGGAACCAAAGTTATTGGATTTGTCCACGCACTTGAAGCAAAGCATTTGGCAACTCTCATGCAGAAACCGTGGGTGAATATGTGTGTTTTATGTGGTTACAAGTTGCAAGCTATACCTGGTCAAGAGACCTAGCCATATATGTGTATAACATTTGGGGACCCAAATAGAAATAGTTCAATACTAACCAAAACAAGTACAATAATGTGGGTATAACAATAATAAACCATCCCCCTAATCATCCTAATCACCATAAATGGGTGGTATAAACCATCGTGTATTATTGTTGTACCCACATTATATATAATATATATATATATACAGCTTCTGGGTGCTAAAAAGACCCTTGGAAACCCTAAGATACCCCAAGTAAAACACCTACAGAAACTATTATGGATAGGTCCATACTTCAACAATTTTGTCATCAATATTTAAATTATTAAAGTATTTGTTGTAATTACCCACAATGTACCATTAATGATTAAGCACAGCTACTGCATCTTAAAATTGGTTGGTGTCATTTTGAGCCACCCCAATCAACACCGGAAAACCTTTGGAGCCTGTTAGATACGAATGGAAAGACAAATCACCAAGACAAAGGTACCAACATAGTTTGCTTGGTTTTAGGTCCAGGGTCTGGTGGTTGGGCATCAGGCTCCTCCCGTCGAGGCGTTTCCGAAGCCACACTGATAGGTTTGGGGGATGTCTCACTGGTAGCCGCCACTGCCATCTCTTTCCCCACTCCTTTGCCCTTCGAGGCGCGAAGTGCCTCGTGGATTGCAGAGGTGCAGCGGACCCACAGGATAAATGTAAAGAGGACATAACTATCATCAGCAATCGGTTGTACAAGTTGTGTGCAGTATGTATTTTCGATCAAATGGTGTATGATCAAAATTAATCCAGTATCCAGGGCTCCCATCTATATCTATAAATATCAAACCAAACATTACCCATGATGAAAACAGCTGAAGGATTCTGAATAAACCCAGGCACTTCTAGGCGTTTCTTCTCTTTGAGCATTTCTTGGTACAAAGGGTCATTCTCTAAGCTCATGGTTGCCGATCTGAGTATCTCCACCCCCCTGACCAATGTGGAAGTACTCGTGTGGACTGAAATTGAGCCAAAACACCTCTCCCATTCCCAAACAAAACATGTTGAAAAATCTGTTACGGGGAATTACGCCGTAATGTTGGGAATTTACGCCGTAATGTTGGGAAATTACGACGTAGATATTTCGTGTTTTTTTTGAAATTTCCGAAAAAACCATTGAAATCCAGTAAAATTCTGGTTACCGCTGGCAAAACGTGACGTGACCTGATGTCACAATGCAGTTGCAAGCCTGGGACATTGAAATGTGCATTTTTTCGCCACCCCACACGCAGCATCAGCTACCTAGCCCGTATATTCCTTAAACAATTCTCTGTACTTGCCATGAAAGTGAGGAGGAATCACCAGGTATTTCGATTTCAAGACGTAGGTGAGGCATTCCACCAATCCAGCATCCTCCCACAAGTCCCCAGTCGGCATGGCCAACAGCAGGTCGAGCAGTGGAACATCTTGATCCACCTGGCAGGCTGGCTCCACAATGCAGCGCTAAAATGTAAAAACACTAGAGGAAGAGGAGGTTATACCATGGCCCCTATCATGAAGTGAAGCCCATGGCCCCTATCATGAAGTGAAGCCTTAAAGGAACTCATAGGTTGGCTATAACTGTGAGAATTGTGAAAATTGTGTACTCATAAGTTCGTTAATTTATGGTAATGTGACCTGTGGCATCCCCTTGGCGATGTATGTCAATAAGAAAACACCAAAAGAACCACCCCATATATATATAATTATAATTGGGTCGCAAACTTATACATACATATCCGTGAACACTGTTCTGGCCCTTGCTGGTAGTGAACCTGTGGTAACTCCGGCTTGGACTTCAACAAGGTTCGGCGACAGCGTAGCATAAAGCCACAGAAGCTGGGAGGGCACACCCTGAGTTGCAATAATAATTCTTACGATGGTCCAGGAATCATTTTTAACCATAGTAATACTTAATAGTCATTGGTTATTTTTCAAATAACCACGAAGAAGGAAATCAACCCATCAAAATCTTTTTAATGTGGGTAAAACAATAATAAACCATCCCCCTAATCACGATAAATAGGTGGTATATAAACCATCAAAAATGGATGGTATATTATTGTTCTACCCACATTACATAGGCAAGGAACTGACTTGCTTTCAAAGCTGGTGTTCCTTTGTACCGGACCCGCCCCGACTTATCTACATAACGAACTGCCGTTAAGGGAGCGCCCTTCTTCTTCATGGAAACTTTCTTCTTCCCGCGATTGAAGAGAGCAACATAGTAAGAAGTCGACCATAGTTTTGTTGGCTTATCATTCGGGTGACCATAGTTCAGCATCCAGAAAGCCGTCCGATATATCTCAGTTCGATCATGGGACATGCAACAATATGGGAAATGCATTCATGGGAAAAACCCAAGCGGGAGTACTTGGTGTTTCCGATTGCCAAAATGGGAGCCAACGATGTTCAATGGATTTCGGGTAGCTGTTTCCCCAAAAGTCATCAAATTCGGGCACCGAAAGAAAAATGCATGTTACAAAACCTGTCCGGCCAAGGTAGGAAGCTTGGAGTCACAGCTTTAGGGAAACGAAAATTGAAGCTTGTACCAACCAATTTAATTCTGTTCAAACTTAATGGTGATAAAAACCAAATAATGAACTGGGCTTTAGTTGTTCTTTTGGGTGGCTGTGATTCCAAACCTTCCTTACCTTTGCAGGCTTCATGCACACAACTGAGTCACAGGGATTTTCATTGAACGAAGGGTCTTCACTAGCCACACCATCCTATCATGGAGCATGATCAAAGATGACTTTGGGTTCTCCAATATCGGTACCCCTCCGGCTGCCACCACAAAGAGGAATATAAGAGCAAACCTTCCAGGGTTGAAAAACCATTGGAACCCATGAATATATATATATATATGTAGTTAAATATTCATTTAACATATAATATATATATATTTCAGCACCTCCCTAGCCTTGAAACCATTTTGTTAGCTCCCTGAATGCTGGGGTAGGCAAGGCAACCCATAGGTGTCAGCACATCCCTTTGTGAAGTTCCTTGGTTGATGGACACCCAAGTGCTGCACACCACTCCAGCTAGAAGTAGTAGATCTCCGAAACGACATTGGATGATGCTGAGCAAAGTAAGCCTTAAGACTCAAGAAACGTGCAGGTGGCAGCTTTCTGATGAACTTTACTCATGCCAAATTTCCAAACCCCTGAACAAATCAGAAACAGTTTATGTCATTTTGAAACACCACAAGGCTGCAAAGTGATTAGCTGGGAAACAGGTAGCCACCAGATTCATTGATATCCATTGCCGATTTTCCACCTTTTTTTTTGAGGCGGGGTCAAAGGTTACATCGTGAGCATGGGCTGGTATGCCTAGACTTTTGGCCAGGCGAGCCAATCGAGCCCGCCCTGCGAAGAGCTCCAGGACTTGGATTTCTGCATCAGGAGGTTCCAAGCAGAGCCAGCTTGTGGCCAAAATCAGCAAGATAAAAACCTGTGGCGGAGAAGGGTAAAGACAAACCATTGGTTTCGAAGTTATGATGAGCTGTTATCTAAAGACTATACTTGCTAATTTTAAATCCACATCGCAACTAAAGCCATCCGAAATCAATTCCTGGGATGCTCCGCCATAATGAATAAAGCACAATAGTACAAAACTTAACTGATAACAATGCGCTATTACTGATAATGATGAAACATCAAAATGTCCGGCTAATGATTCAACATCCAAAAAACTCACCATGTGTATCAGACATTATGCGAATCAACCTTCGTTTTAACCAAACCAGTTTCATGTTTTGCAACCTTCGGCGCTTTCAACTTGATGAGGCGTCTTAGACAGACTTCCAGCTCAGCATCCTTCATGGCTTTCGCTGGTGAAAACCCTCACCTAAATTTGATCTTGATGGCCACGCTGGAAAAAATCAATCATGAAAGCAAGAAGGTGGGTTGCAACCACCATTCCAAGGGTGTGTTCATGTCTCACTACTATAAATCTGTCTTGGTCAGCTTCAATGCAAATTGTTTTATGGGATCATGTGAATTATCTACTATCAGTCAATGCTACGGATAGCCAATGATACTTTAATGATGTTCCTCGGAGTTACCATTCAAACCTTGCTACCACCCCCCAACATGCCAGGGTCTCCAAATTCCGCACCCCATTTGATGTAGGACGTCAGCACCTTTGGCGATGGCATCAGCTTCTGCGCGATGAAGGCGACATGTACCTGGAGACAAGAGTACATGGGTAAGGGTTCAGTATGCCCTTGTGGACTGGTTGTCCCAAGGGCCCGGGGAATGAGAAAATCAAAAAACTGTCAACAAGTCGTTTTTGTTTGGGCAACATGTTAAGCAAAGGTGTTGCTCGTGCTCAACATTGATCCACCTAGCTTTGGCACCCTCTAGCCGCTAGCCTTTTTTTGCGAATCAAGTATTCTGTTAGATCTTGACCTTTGGCCATCCTCGTGATCCAACACCAGGGGCCCGGTAACCGGTAACAGTTGAGAAACATTTGGTGGTGATGGAAACTGCCAAAACGATTCTTCAGCTGACATTGCAGCCTGCGAGACTCAGTGCAACTAAGCAGGCCACTACAAATCAAACTGGGCAATCAACCCCGTGTTCCATCAGTGTTTGGCCCACGCATCAGCTTCCTAACCACGCAGCTTACCTTGGCAAGCGTGAGATGGACACATTGATTAGGAGACCATGCAAAGTAGAAAGCAATCAATGAGACGTTGGATTGGAAACCAAACCCTATCATAGCTAATGGGGTTCGATTTAAAAACCTGTGAACCTTTTTGGAACCCAATGAAAAACAAATCATCTTTATAGTTTGCCAAAGTACTCTGCACCTCAGGGGTCTTCAAAAACTCCTCAGCCAGAGCAAGCGCAGCTGCTGGGTAGACGGCCACGGAGCTGCCAGTAGGAACTGCATCTGCCCACCGTTGCCCACAAAATTTCCAAAAAGGATCCTAAGGGGTAGCAGGACTTAAGAGAAGTAGGGCTGATGATGTTGGAATGAATGTACATCTCGAGTAACAAAACTTACAGGTGTTCCACTTGAATGTGTTTAAGCTGAGGGTCTTCCATGGTGCTGGGGGAGCGGATCTTGGATTCAACCACATTTTCGAAAGCATCCCTCAAAGATTGCCAGAAGGACCCTGAAGGTTCACGGCCTGGCTTGACCCTCCTCGCAAAAGTTGCCTTTGTCTTTCCATTTTTTGGCTTTCTCCCCTTTCGTGTCTTGGCAGCCTTTTTGTTGCTCTTCGAAGATTTCGGCTTCTTTGTGGACTTGGCCTTTGGTGATTTCACTTTCTTCGGGTGCTTGCTTTTCTTTGGGGGTGTAGGTGTTGAAGCCTTCACCTCCTTCGGGGATTTTGCCTTCTTTGGGGATGATGGTGTCTTCTTTGTTCCAGCGGGAGTGGCAACTTTCTTTCCCTGTTTTTTCGGCTCTGGAGTAGAGGTTTCCTTTGGGGCATCTTTCTCCGGGCTATCTTCAATGGCCGCTGCTGGGCGCTTAAGCTTTTGACGGGTTGCCTTCCTGAGACCGATCTGCTTGAGTCGGGCGACGCTCTTGTCCTGGCAACAGATGGAGAGAACAGGGAGGGATACATAAATGATAGATAAGGACATTTCAACCCCTTGATATAATAGAACCAAAGATCCTTACTACACATACTTACTTGACAACATATATATATATATAAACATGTGGAACGTGGGGGCACCAGCCAGAAATCCTCCTCATCATCTTCCATCAGGCCGGCCAAAGTGGGGCTTGCTACATCACCCTGCTTAGGCTGGGATGAGGGAATGTTCCGGGTGGGTGATCCCTCAGCTTGAATTGGACTTGTCGAATCATCTCCACCAGTACATGGAGAGTTGGATGGCTGGCCATCCACAAGGACAGGAGTAGCGGTAGCTGGGGCATCCATGACCTGAGGTGGGGTCCCCAAAACATCACCATCTGTCTGCAAGTACTCGGCCATCTGGGTAGCTGGGTACTGCAAAGTCTCACCATGATCACCGATACCTCAAAACATACAAGATGGTGACGGTCAAAGCAAAACACATGCATGGTAAACTCCAAAAAATGTCCAGGTGTTGAGACAACCCAATGTGTTTAACGGCCATGGCACTGCCCCAAGAAGCCTTGACTTTCTCGGTAGCCAATGCGATCTTGCGTTCTGCCATCTTGATCCTGGGTAGGTGCTGAAAATTGAAAATTGTGTAAAACTGACCTGGGTGTTGATAAACCGATGGATGAATAGTAAAAATCCATTTAGATATATATATATGTATATATATATATTATGATATAATATATAAATCTATAGTATTATACATGCTATAAATAATCCCTTCCTCCTAATACTAAACGTCCCCCTAATACTAAAAACCGGCATCCATCTCCAATTTCCGAAAATTTCAGTTTGGCCAATTTGACTTTTAATTGATCCCCTTTTAAAAAACAATTTAAAAATCAACCTACCATTTGTGGGTTCTCCCCCCTAATACTAAAAACTAGTTCACCCCGGGGTGTTTAGTATTAGGGGGGCCTAGTCCCAATCCCTCACTCCAAGCTGCCTGGCTACTCTAGCAATTCGGGGTAAGCTTCGAACTGCCATTTTTGGCAATATTTTAATTGCGTTATATAAGGAAATTTAATTGATTTTGAGATCGGAAAAAATAGTTTTTAGTAATAAGGGTTTTAATTTAGTATTAGGGGTAAGCTTCGAACTGCCATTTTTGGCAATATTTTAATTGCGTTATATAAGGAAATTTAATTGATTTTGAGATCGGAAAAATAGTTTTTAGTATTAAGGGTTTTAATTTAGTATTAGGGGTAAGCTTCGAACTGCCATTTTTGGCAATATTTTAATTGCGTTATATAAGGAAATTTACTTGATTTTGAGATCGGAAAAAATGGTTTTTATTATTAAGGGTTTTAATTTAGTATTAGGGGTAAGCTTCGAACTGCCATTTTTGGCAATATTTTGGTTCCCTAATAATAAATACCCCCCTAATACTAAAAACTACCTGCCGTGTTTTGTATTAGGGGGGGGGGGTTAGTATTAGGAGGAAGGGATTAGTGTATAGAATGCAACAATTTATCCAAGTGTCTCCAATTCTTTCAACTGCTCATCGATATCAAGTGCAGACTTCTCTTCTGGGGTGTCAAGTTCAAACCCGAGAGTTGGACAAAGATCACCCCCCAAGGTCCAAGCCAAGTACTCATCATGAACTTTGGGTTTTGTGTCTGGAGTTTTATCACCAGAAACTTCATCTTCCGCTGCGGGTGTTTCGGGAGCAGCCGCCTGACTTTCCCCAGGTACCGCACCATGGTGACTATCTCCCTCATCAACCTGAGGAGGCTTGGAATCGGAAGTCTGGGATTTGCGTTTCTTGCGTTCCCAATGGGTTGCAACCTTCTCGAACAGAAGCCGCAAAGCCACATCCTTAGAACAAACCGCATTGGTGTATCCAACACATCATGGTGAGCAACAAACTTCAGGGGTTAAAAAATGGATGAATACGTTTCTGGTTTTATATTTTTATGTGTGTTTTTTTACTTTGGAAAAGTTTCTCTTCGATCACTGTCATCATTCCTTCGCACAATGAGAGACATGAAACCTCTCAGTGCAGAAGCCTCACAATAAACCAAGCTTGGTCGGGTAGGAAGGCCCAGCATCCCACGCAATTTCCTCACCTAGCAGGGCTGTGTATGAGAAGATTTTTTTCGTAAAGTTGTACATGGTGTTTCTGGGAACCCCCTAAAAAGGAAGCTGCTGAACATGTAAAAAATAATATCGCCTCGTGTTTGGCTTCGTCCAGTTGCAAAGTCTTCGCTTTCGGATTGATGGGGCACCAATGGTCCACAAGAACATCCACTACTGGAAGGTTCAACAAGAGGGTGTCATAGTTGATACGACCAGCAGCTGCCGGAGTAGGCCATGTAAAAAGAGACTTCCTCCTCACCATGTCCCGGCGTAACCCCTTATTCCCTTCCAACAGCTCCGCCAACCCCTCAAGATGTGGTTCAGGGACATCAGCGGCCATGGCTAGACACAGGTTAGCCCCCAGCTTAAGAGCCAAACCTTCTAGACCATGCAAGGTGTTGGTCTAAGAAACTCCTGATGGGTACAGAAACCAATGACCACAAACTTCAGTGAAACATGGGGCACTTCTCAATCTTCAGGAGGATGGTGATGACCCAACGTCCTGGCAGGGGCGACCCTACAAATGCAACATTTTTTTGGCAGGTTTTTCCAATTTGTATTGGGCAGAATGGTGATAAATGGTAATGGAAGCCACACTTTCATTGGAATCAAGAAGTGCTTTATACCATACATCGTCTTTAAATCTTGGGCTACCAGGACCCGATCATAAGGCCAAGGACATAAACCCCAAGCAAGCCTCCAGGTGTGAAGGCAAAACCCTCACATTGATGGGCTAGCCTGCGTGGGGATGATGGTTTTCCAGGGCATTTATGATAAGCTCACAGGACCTTCAAGTGTAGCTAATCTCCAACAGTTGCTGAGGTGTTGAACATGTTTTTTTGGCACCGTGCTCATGTTTGGAATCGAGGAGCGGTTCTCCACGAAATGGAACAAGTAGGCCCAAAAGCCAAGGTCAGAAAAACCACCTGTGTAATCCGGTCACTATGTACTTCCATCCAAACAAGCCTATTATGAATTAGTCGGTGTGTGCCATCTGGTCGCCAGGCTCTTTGCTGACAGTCTGACCAGCGGGCACTTCCATGTGGGACTTCTCTTTTGCACCTGGCCAGATGGCAGGATATCAAAACCAGCTAAGCAGCTAAGACATACCAGGACATGTTGCCAGCAAATGCCAAGTTGCGGGTTCTATATACTTGATTCTCTGGTTGAAAGTGTGAGCTGTCAAACCACAATCTGTGAGCAAAGTTTCTCTTTGTTATCCAAGGGACGTTCTGACTGCCATTCACGATAGAAAGAAGCCAACTGCAAAATGTACCCATCCGACTTGTAATTTTCGATCAAATGCTGCCCCCGATCTTCATGAAGTTCTGTTACATCCTTAGTGATAACAGGTAACCCCAACAAAGTCAAATTTATGGGACATCTCCATCAAAAGTTTCATGCAACTTGAGGGTTCACTTCCAACCAAAAATTTGTTTTGAGATTCTGTGGGGTCATCCGCAGGCCACAGAACTGTTTGAGCTTCAGCCCAGAACTTTGTTGGCAAATCTTCCAAGCCTCAATTTGAGCAGGGCTGGAGGAATCCCATAGGCAAGTTACATAAGCAACTTGAGAGCTCACCGTGGATCGATTAATCTGAAAAAAAAAATCTTGCCTGCAGACCGCAGCTGCTCGAGGAGTGGGTGGCCATTGGGAAGGGATGGTGGCTCAGACATTTTAACTACTAAGGTCTTTGATTGAGCAGCCACCAGCTTCGGCACATCAAATATATATCATCAAACCATGAAGCTGGTGCGCGATCACATCACAATCTCCGATCAAGAGCTATCAGCATGCAAAAAGGGGGGTGGCGCACCTCCACCATCCAGCAGCTCTTGAACACAGAGCTCTAAAATGCAATTCTTGAGCCCCCATCTGGTAAATGAATGGATGATTCCAACCTTGCCTTAAAATAGAAATTGACGCTGCCCCATGAATTACGACGTAGGTGCCAAAAAGTCAACTTTTGGCAAAAAGAGCCGTAGCTGCACTTCTAGGTATTGGCTTCACTTGTCACTCTCTGAAAATGTGGTGCCAGTTGCTTGGCTTCCAAAAACTGCCAGACGCAACTCAAAAGAGAGTTGCTTCGGACATCCTTTCCGAAACCTTTCAACAAGGCACATCGCCCTGCTTCGTTGTCACAAAAACACCAAATATTGCGGTGTAAGAATTTTTGGCCAGCAATCAGAGCCAAGGTTTGTGCAAGCACTTCGAGTGCATAAATGTAAGCGCGTCTTGTGGTGAAGTGTGAGATGAGGTGTGGTGGAATGCTTCCGTGTGCAAAAAACACTTCTGTGCCGTGGCGGATGATGAAACCCCATCCGTTCTCCATGAGGTTGGCGCCGTCTGGGTTCCATGACCAATCGTCTGTGGCAGCTGAAAGTCTGATGGTTCGCTCTCCTGCTTTGAAATACGCATCTGCGTAAATCACAGATGTTGGTTCTGTGTTGAAGTCGAGCTGCATGGGCCTCATCTTTGGCAAAAGTTGCAAGTCGTGATGTGCAATTCGCACTGTAGGGATGTTCCTGGAATTTTCGGGGAACGGGTTGGATTTTGCAGGTTTTGGTATAAAACAGGCCTTGCAGGCCCTATGAGGCCCAAATCAGTGACAATTTGGCTCTGTCCAGCCGCTTCACAGGGTGTTTCGAATGTGCTTACAGAAGGGGAGATCTTGCATGAATTTTGGAATTGGTGGATTCACAGAATTATGAGGTTTCTTTTTTTCAAACGTGATCAAAAACATATTTTGGAATTTACGAAATGTGATTAAAAACATATTTTGGAATTTACGGGGGGATTTGTTTTTGAATAAAATTTATACCGAGAGGTCACCCATGAGTTTCAAATTTGTTTTGGGCGTGGGGACATGATATTTTTGCACCTTTCATTTTGTGTTGTGTTAAGTTGTTCAGGGAAGGTTGTTCAGGGGTCGCCCTATATTTGGTTCCAAAAAAACATTTCGTGCTTTTTGGAGAACCGACAAAATACTTCTTAGGTTTTTCACAATGAAATGGAAAGGAAAACTTTTCTTGAGAAATTAATTGCTTTCTTCGCATTCAAAGCTTGGTGGAAACTCGGTGAGGTGAGAAGCCGATGAAAACTTCATGAGAACTTGGTGAATACCTGGTGAAACCTAGTGGAAACCTGGTGCAAATTTGATGAAATCTTCGTGGAATTTGGCGAAGACCTTGTGAACATTCCAAAGCTGGTGAGCAAACCAGGTGAAATTCAGAAATCTGGTGAAAACCGTGTGAAATTTATTTATTGAAGAAACGTTTTACATTTTGAAATTTCACCAAAAGAAGCGTTTTCACATGTTGTTTTGGTGAAATGATGAAATATCCAGAATCTGGTGAAAATTCCGAAACCTGGTGAAAATTTGGTGAAATTCCAAGGCCTGGTGAAACCTGATGAAATCTGGAAAATTGGTAAAGATCTGGTGAAATTTCCAAATTTAGGTGAAATTCGGGTAATTTTCTCAACCTCAGGGGTTTTCTGAAACCTGGTGAAAATTCGGTGAAGACTTAATGAATTTGCGAAACCTGGTGAAAGCCTGGTGAAATTCCCGCAATTTCGGTGAACATGGCAAAAAATTGAAAGAAACGTTCTGCTCTTCAGGCCTTTGTGAAAAACCAATCAAGACCCAAATTGGTTCAGTCAAAACGCCTCTTTGTCCTCCGTTTCCGACCGCTAAGCAACTCAGCATTGTGTTGAATATAAATATAGAAAATAATTTGTACCTAAACATACATTATGTCCCCCCAGTGTCTTAAGAACCAAAGTAGCAAATAGCAAGCATGCGCCACATAAAAGAAATACAACGGGTTGTTCTACCCAAAGCAAATATACACAAATCCGACATTGTTTTTTTGCAACGTTTGGTTTCACTGTGTCCTAGAAAATTGGCTTAAGGATTGAATTCCCAAGTCCGCAGACAATCTCCCAAATCCAGGGCCTAAGGCCGAATTATCCGTGGTTTGAAGCTGGCTTTTAAGGATCGATCCCCCAAATCCAGGGTAAGGGTAAATTTCAAGGATCGATCCCTCAAATCCATGGCCCTAAGCCTAATTTCAAGGATCGATCCCCCAAATGGTAAGGGTAAATTTCAAGGATTGACCCACCAAATCCATGGCCCCAAGCCTAATTTCAAGGATCGATCCCCCAAATCCAGGGTAAATTTCAAGGATCGATCCCCGAAATCCATGGCCCCAAGCCTAATTTCAAGGATCGATCCCCCAAATCCAGAGTAAGGGAAAATTTCAAGGATCGATCACCCAAATCCAAAGCCCCAAGCCTAATTTCAAGGATCGATCCCCCAAATCCAGGGTAAGGGTAAATTTCAAGGATTGGTCCCCGAAATCTATGGCCCCAAGCCTGATTTCAAGGATCGATCCCCCAAATCCAGGGTAAGGGTAAATTTCAAGGATCGATCCCCGAAATCCATGGCCCCAAACCTAATTTCAAGGATCGTTCCCCAAAATCCAGGGAAACTTTCAAGGCTCGATCCCCCAAATCCATGGCCCCAAGCCTGATTTCAAGGATCGTTCCCCCAAATCCAGGGTAAGGGTAAATTTCAAGGATTGATCCCCGAAATCCATGGCCCCAAGCCTGATTTCAAGGATCGATCCCCCAAATCCAGGGTAAGGGTAAGTTTCAAGGATCGATCCCCGAAATCCATAGCCCCAAGCCTGATTTCAAGGATCGCTCCATCAAATCCAGGGTAAGGGTAAATTTCAAGGATCGATCCCCGAAATCCATGGCCCCAAGCCTGATTTCAAGGATCGATCCCCCAAATCCAGGGTAAGGGTAAATTTCAAGGATCGATCCCCGAAATCCATGGCCCAAGCCTGATTTTAAGGATCGATCCCCCAAATCCAGGGTAAGGGTAAATTTCAAGGATCGATCCCCGAAATCCATGGCCCCAAGCCTGATTTCAAGGATCGTTCCCCGAAATCCAGGGTAAGGGTAAATTTCAAGGATCGATCCCCGAAATCCATGGCCCCAAGCCTGATTTCAAGGATCGTTCCCCCAAATCCAGGGTAAGGGTAAATTTCACGGATCGATCCCCGAAATCCATGGCCCCAAGCCTGATTTCAAGGATCGTTGCCCCAAATCCAGGGTAAGGGTAAATTTCAAGGATCGATCCCCGAAATCCATGGCCCCAAGCCTGATTTCAAGGATCGTTCCCCAAAATCCAGGGTAAGGGTAAATTTCAAGGATCGATCCCCGAAATCCATGGCCCCAAGCCTGATTTCAAGGATCGATCCCCCAAATCCAGAGTAAGGGTAAATTTCAAGGATAGATCCCCGAAATCCATGGCCCCACGCCTGATTTCAAGGATCGATCCCCCAAATCCAGGGTAAGGGTAAATTTCAAGGATCGATCCCCGAAATCCATGGCCCCAAGCCTGATTTCAAGGATCGTTCCCCCAAATCCAGGGTAAGGGTAAATTTCAGGGATCGATCCCCGAAATCCATGATTGGCCTTGTTGGGTTTTGTCTGCTTGGCTATCCCTACTTTTTTTTTGTCCAGTTGGCCCCAACCTGCTTCACGGCATCGTCCCCCCAAAAATCACACAGGGTGGGGTGGTAAGGGTAAATTACGGATCGATCCCCGAAAATCCATCGGCACACAAGCCCTGATTTCAGGGATCGATCCCCCAAATCCAGGGTAAGGGTAAATTTCAAGGATCGATCCCCGAAATCCATGGCCCCAAGCCTGATTTCAAGGATCGATCCCCCAAATCCAGGGTAAGGGAAAATTTCAAGGATCGATCCCCGAATCCATGGCCCCAAGCCTGATTTCAAGGATCGTTCCCCCAAATCCAGGGTAAGGGTAAATTTCAAGGATCGATCCCCGAAATCCATGGCCCCAAGCCTGATTTCAAGGATCACTCCATCAAATCCATGGTAAGGGAAAATTTCAAGGATCGATCCCCGAAATCCATGGCCCCAAGCCTGATTTCAAGGATCGATCCCCCAAATCCAGGGTAAGGGAAAATTTCAAGGATCGATCCCCGAAATCCATGGCCCCAAGCCTGATTTCAAGGATCGTTCCCCCAAATCCAGGGTAAGGGTAAATTTCAAGGATCGATCCCCGAAATCCATGGCCCCAAGCCTGATTTCAAGGATCGATCCCCCAAATCCATGGTTTGATCGATGCCCGTTTTCAAGGATAGATCCCCCAAATTCAGGCGGTCTAAGGCTCAATTTCGCGGTTCGATTTTCCAAATCCAGAGTACTAGTATGAAGGCAAATGCCGTCAGTTTATGAACAGAAAAAAACAGTTATACCAGATTGCTGTGCGGAAAAATGCATTACGTATGAAATGAGAGACACTTGAAACTGACTTGGGGCTTTCACAACCTAGTGTTCAAGGTTTGTTTGGAGAAGAATCAGATCTGCATTGATTGCATTGTTTGCACGGCACAGGCTGCACAAGCAACCAAGATGATTGTTGATTTGGGCCAACAACAGTTTGCTTCTTGCCTATATATGTTCTTTCCCGTGGTTGATGTGGTCTGCTTTTGTCCTGCGTATGGTTTGTTTTTTATTTTGATTGCGTCGTTGTTTTTTTCTTGCTGCCAGTGCTTCGATGGTTTCTATCTAGTCGCGGTGACGTGCTCACTTCATACTCAAGTCTTGTCGTTTGGGTTCACTGATTTGTTGTGGCCTGTCACTTGCTATTCTCTGTTACTTTCCCCGCCTTTGTTTTTGATATTGTGTCACCGTAATATTTTATATCATTTTATATCTATGTATTGCAGTTCCCCGGTGTGCAAAATATGCGCTGTTGTGCATGCGGTGAATGAGAATGCTTGGAGTGTATCATATATCTGCGTCTGTCAGTCTAGGTGTTCACTGGGCTGCAAGGCAACAAACTTTCGAAATTATGCCAACAAGGATTCCTAAAGCACTTCGGGTGTGTAGTTTGTTGTATGTACATGAAAAGATAGACTTGTAGGAGGTGATGTTTGTTGGTATGGACATGTAAAATTCATTTTCGCCAGCTAGAAGGAGAGAACTTAATTTGCAAGAAAACTACCACCGCTATTTCAAACAACTGAAGTAATTATATTATATACTATCTTTCTTGATCATCCATACCTTGGCGCCCTATGTCGTTCTAGTGCTTACTACCATGTTCGACATGCACAGCAAAGTCCTGAAACAACACGGTAGTTGGTTACTCAATGTTTCTTGATTCATAACCTTTTGAACCATAGTTCATGCACTCCCCAAAACAGCCAAAAGTTACTAATTCAGATATAATTCAGATTAACGCTGGTTTCTCTTAAAAAAAAAGGAGCTCTTCCTTAATCAAGGAAGGTAATACCTTGCTTATTCAATCAAGGTTTTTTGATATGTTGTTGTACAGGAAACATCATCATAAGTGTGTGTGATTTATGCAAATTGTTGATGGCATATGACTCACAGGATAGAAGTGTAAGAATCCTAGGAACTCAAGTTTTTCGTTTTCAATATATGTTGTCTACCTAAATTTTGGGGTTTGCAGCGGAGTTTTGTTTTTTGGAAAGAATTGAATAGTTTTTTTTCTCTGTAAAAATGTGTTTTTAGCATTTAAGGAAGTTGTGTGGGAGTTGGTGGTTTCGTGGGAGTTGGTGGTTTCGTGGGAGATGTCTGCAAGAAGTAAGAGGTGATACAGCAGTCACAGTCTTGAACTCGCTAGCCTGCGCTGTGTCCAATGCTTGTGTGGGAAAAAACATTCCTGTTCTGGGTTTATCTTCCAGCATGAAGGATTCTTCACAATTTCTGTCTTTTCCTGAAGCACGAAGGATGATTTGCTGGGAAACTTCAATGCGTAAATTCAGACCATCGACGGCACACTCTCGAATAGACTTGGTTCACTAGGTCAGGTTATGATTGGGTGGTGATTCTTGCATGGGTAGTGATAGGCGTGTAATTAAAATCAACATGTATCAGCAATGTGGCTGGTTGAACAAGAGCAACAAGCAACAAGACTAGTTCGGAAAGAGGATGTTTCTGTAGATTATTCTATTATTCTTCTTCTAGAAGTTGTGCTGATTCTGACAGATTTCGTCCTGATACCCAAACTCCTGACTATGTGGAATAGATAAACGGCAGAGTTAGGAGTAGATACAGTATACTGTAGAAGGCAACATAATTGAGTCAGCAACTTCCAACACAATGGGTGACACTGAAGTTGCTGAGGATTTCCGAAAACTCCTCGGCAACTTAAACCTACGCTACACCCAGCACCCCATATCAACCAGCTTTACCATTTGTGCTGGTTGGGTCATGGTCATGTTATACACATTCATTTGCTAAGGATTTCCCACAAATCCTCAGCAACTTGATATTCCCCCAACAATCTTCAAGTTGCTGCGCTGGCATGCCAAGATATACATATACCACACACACATAATATATATATATACACCCTCTATATATATATATATATATGTATATATATTATCCATCCAACTTTTTATCCATGCAAAGTTTTGCTTAATGATTGTCTTGTGATCAACATTTCCAACAAATCTATGACGTATTATGTGGCTAAAGGGAACACCATTTGTTTTTCAACTTGGACACATATTGACACGCGCTGAAACTACAAATTGTGGTGCTGCCCACCACACTGCAACAATCCTACAAAACGGAAACATTTGGGGGTGTTGGATTTGAAGATTTGGGATTTGAAGTGTTCAATTTTCATATTGTTTTTGTTTTCAGGATGAAAGCGCGCTGTTTTCCCATGTTCAATCAAACCGAAGAATGCTTCATGCTGGAAGATAAATCCAGAAAGGTTATTTTCCAAAGGAAGTGTATCATCTCATCTCTTACTTCTTGCAAGCATCTCCCAAGAAACCACCAACGCCCACGAAACCATCAAGTCCCACACAACCTTTTTATTTAAAAATAAATCTTTGAATTTAAACATGTTGTTTCGTTTGTTTTGGATTAAAACAACATGTTATCAACATCTGAAAGTTTCAAACTGTTCGAAACATACATGAAAAAATAAGATTCTAATTTTTTGGTTCTTTATTTTTTCCAGTTTTCCATTTTTTTGCTCACATCAGGACGCAGCGGAATACACGCATCGATTTTTTCTACTTCTTTCTGGCGTGCACCTGAGATGCGTTAGAGGCGTGCCCTACCCCACCGATAGGATGCGAACCCACCCCAGTGCGTGGAAAACCGCGAAGCTTCGCCACTCAAGTTTCAGAAGCTTAGGGTTTTACAGCTGACCTTATAAAAAATGAAATGTTTCCTTCAATTTAAGAAAAAAATCCTTAAATAAGATTCTTTTTCCTAATTATGAACAAAATCTTTTAAGCACCTATTATCATTAAAAATTGTTTTCTTAATTAAGTTTTTTCCCCTTATAATGAAAGGGCATTTATTATATAACTAAGGAGCTATTATAAGAAAGGTTTCCTTGAAAAACAAAAGTTTTCTTAATGCGTGACTTTTGATCGATGTGGGTCTCTTCAGTGCCTTGTTGTCCTCCGCTTTCCCGTTTCGGATTCTCCTTGTTGACCCCCTTTGACTGGGCACAGAGGGATGGTGGAAACCCATAATATATCCATAGATAAGCATACCAGGGCCCACCAGGCACTCCAAACCCCCAAAAAACAACTTGATCCCCGAAAATTCATGGAACATGGCTATAGCTAAAATTGCACGTCACGAAGTTGCAAGATTGTAGCCAGCGCGTCGCGTGTTCCCGGACTGAGTTTGGTCCTGGAGCTCTGGTGTGCGCTTGCTGCCGCATGTTTGTAAAGTGGGTAGAGACAAGCTCTGATGCTTTGACCCAACACTGCTTCTTGCAAGAATTGCAGTTTGCCGGCCAGTTTGGCTGCATGCTCGCCGCTCAGCGTGTCTGACTGGAGGCATTGTAGGATCTGTTGTGTGATCCGTCCAGTTCGTTTTGGGCAAGGTTGTAGCACGAAACTGTCTTCTGTGGCTGTCATCCAAAGCCCTTGGATGCGTTGGCTGTGGTGTGGGGGCTGCATTTTTGTGGGTTTGAATCTGAACCCCATGGTCTGCAGGGTGCTGTGTGTTGCCTCAAAGCCGCTTTGTATGGTGGTGTTTGCCTCAAGAGCAGCAAAATCATCCACATAGTGGAGTGTTGGAACTAGCAAGGTTGCTCTGGTGATCCAGGCTAACATGTCTGCTGTTCTTGTGTATGCCCATACGGATCCAGCACTGCCGAAGAGGAGACAGGTGTGTCGCCACAGCGTCCATCCGTGAGGGACGCGCAAGAGGACGTATGTCTCGGTGGGGTCTGCAACCGCTAGTTGGCGGTATGCTGCTTCTTGATCTGGGCCCCAGATTTGTGCCTGGTGGTTGTGCTGGTGCAGCCACTGTGCCACGGCTGTGAAAGTGTCGGGCCTGTGTGCGTTGGGGGTGTCCGTGGCTGACACCGTTGTGTTGCGCTTAGATCGTTTCCAATCTTCGCCTCGGCGGATTTTGGGCTGGCCGTCGCTTCCAATCTGTTCGATTGAGAACGCGACACTTGTTGGAACATGGCACGAGGGTCCCTCTTGCAAAGTGCACATGTCGATGTACTGGGCTGCTGCTATGGTTTTGGTTTGCCAATCTGGTGGGGCTATGAATGGCCCTTCCATGCGCCCGTTGCGGACGTCCTCGACGATCTCTTGTAGAAGCTGTTGCCAGTGTGTATCTGGTCGAGCCGTGACCATCTTTAGCTGTATGTATTCTTTGTTTTGATTGAGGAAAGTGTTGAAGTCTGTTGGCGTGGAATATTTGGAATCGCTTCTGGCTTTCCATCCCAGGCCAGGGTTGAGGGCACCTGTGAGGCGGAAGCCATGCTGGATTTCATCCAAAAGTGTTGGGTCGCCCCACCCAAATGTGGTGGCAATGTGCTGCAGCAAAGGAAAATGGATGCTTCCGGGACCGTCGGGGTCGTAGAGTCGCTGTATGTGAGGCTTCAGCTGTCCGCCAGTTGTTGCATCTCTGTTGTGACTCTACCTCGCAGCTCTGGCAGGTGCTCATGCCAGTGGTGCCACAGCTTGAGTGTTTTCAGTTCGGGTTCGAGCTCCCGTGTGGTTGTGCGTGGGTGCTGTTGGTTGGCTGCTAACCGCCAGTGTTCCCACCTGTCGGTCAAGGTGGTCATGTGTGGCTCTGCTGTGCTGGCTGCTGTTGGTGTGGTAAGTAGTGGCGCAGAGTGCCAAATCATTGCCATCTGTTCGATGGCTGTGTGGCCCAGAGGGTGTGGGTCCCTCGCTAGTGTTGGTGCTGGTACTGCTGCGGCGGCTGCTGTGATGGGTGTGGCCAGTAGAAGGGCCAGGAGGATGGTTGCAACGCCTACATGCCAGGCATTTGCTATTGCTTTGTGGCGAAAACGGTCGCCGGTGTCTTTGACTGCTGTCTAGCCTGCTGGTATGTGGTGTAGCTCCTCCTTCATGGTGGCAGTTGGGAGGTGCAGTGTGTTGTTTTCATCGCACCACATGTTTTCTGCTTGGTAGTGCCAGGGTGCGAATTGTTTGCCACCGTTTGTCCACCTGTGGAAGGTGGACGAATCCATTCTGCCTTTGGCTGATCGTGGGGCCGGGCGCCCTTCTGGGCTTTCTGCTGGTGTGGTCATTGTGGGCAAGGTTTTGTGGAGTTTGGTCCAACATGCGGGTGGCTGCCAGGTTGGTGGACCGATGGGTTGTGTGTCCTTTGGCACGTCCAGGTGAAGGACAGGGGTGCTGTACTGTGTTGACCATGTGGCCTTTCGTCCCAAGATTGTGTGCTCGTGTTGGCTCCAACTGATGTCGGTCCACCAAAGTCTGGGTCTCGACTAGGCGAAGCACCGGTCGTCGCCCCAGCAATGGGAGCAGCTCTTCCAGCCACGTAAGCCAGTCGTCGAATTTCTTGCCTTCAGCTCCGTCTCTGCCCTCTCCTTGGGATCCTTTGATCCTTGAAAAATCAGGACACGGTGGTCCTGCTGTGATGGCTATGCTCCAAGATTGGTCGGGGTCGAGGAACTGCATCCTGTCAGCCACTGCCTGTGGGTTGTCCCGGACGATGTTACCACGGTGCTCCATGTCTGGGTAGTGGTGGTGAGAGATCTGGATGCAGGTGGGATCTGTCTCCCACGCCATGTGGTGTATGTGGAGGTTGTGTTGGCGCTGAAGGTTGTCCATGGCTAGACGAGAGCAGCTGATCCCGTCGAAGAAGCTCAATAAAAACCAGTGGCTGTTGGTTGGCTTGGGGAATTGTAATGGTGTTTGGTTGACGGGTTCGGGCACAGCGTGTTGTGTCTTGCGACGTTTGTTGCTGTCGGGTACCCTACCCGTGGCGGGCAGGGCCCCGAGCTGTCCCTAGCCCTGTGTTGTGTGGTGGTCGTCTTGTTTGCGTGCTGCTTCCTGACCCTGGGGGCGTGTGCGCCAGTTGGACCAGGGCTGGCTTCGGTGCCATGTGTTGAAACGTTGGTATGGCCGGCTTCCGCTGGAAGGGTGGCTGTTGCGCCAGGCCCCGGCTGTCTGACCCCGGGGGTTGGTGGTGCTGTGTGCTGCTGTAGCTGCTGCAGATTTGCCTGATCCCTTGGGCTTGGGCGTGTCCTTGGTCAGGGCCGTCTGCAGAGCTGCTGTGTCCTCCATGATCTCGGCTGATACTGTTGCAAAATCTCGACCTTGGCGTAGAGCAAGAGCCAGGCGCCAGCTGGCTTCTATCCAATAGATTTTGAGAGCTTCGATCTTGTTGGTCTTGGATCTAAAAAGTTGAGACCACCATCTCGTGTAGCTGATGATATCCAGCTCGTGTGCAAGGCGGATCAGTATCCAGCAAAATTGGATGGCTTCGATTGCATCCAAGATGCTGAGGAGGCCTTTTGGAGACCATGATGGTTCGTCCTCCATGACGACAGCATGCATGTCTTTGTCTAGCGTCAGCTTCTGGTGAGGTGATTTGGTCTTGAACATGGGCGCGAGGCTGTTGAGTTGGCCACTGCTGTCGAAACATCTGCACTCTAGGATTTCGTGCAACTGCAAGGGAGTATACTGTTTGGTGACATGGTGCTCCACCCACGCCCTGTTGACTATTTTCTCTGCTCCTAGCAGAAGGCGCATTGGAAAGGAGCGTTGTCTGCCGTCGACCGTGGTGCTTTCATACTTCTCCACCAAAGTCTGAAATATCTCTGGGCTCATCTCCTTGGGTGAAGACTGCTTGGGCCCCTCGTTGCCATGAAGGCGGATCTGCAAACTCATGGCCATCTTGTGGCCAGCTGCTATTGGCCTCTTTCCAGAGGTAACGCAAAGCTGCCCGAGCGGTCATCATGTTGTCATCGGTCAATTTGAGTTTTTTGCTCTCTGAAATGATGCCATCGCACCACTTCTGCCAAAACTGCTCGTCCACTTCTGCAAAAGAGTCGGCTGCAGCGGCCAACATTCCAAGGTTGGAAATCTTCATGGCTTCTAGGAAAACGACCACGCTCTGGTCGATTTGGGCTGCGTCTGCCGCCCTTTGAAGGTCATGGTGTTGGACCCGCATGGCTGAGTGCAGGCCCGTCACGGGCCTTTTTTTTTTTCTCGTGTCTTGGGGCCGAGGCTGCGGCTCGGCATCTTTTCCACTGTGACTCGTGGGCATGCGGAAACGCAAATCAAAGCAATTGCAAATCATGGTGATCCCTGCGAGCAAACTGCAAGCCTGTGTGCCTGGACCCTGTTGACATGGGAATTCCGACTTACATGAAAGCTGAGTCGACATGTGACATGTGAACATGCGGAATGCTAACATCGAAGCAATCGCGAATGATAGTGATCCTTGCAGCGAACTGCAAACCTGTGTCCCTGGTTCCTGGTGACATGGGGAGACCGCCGCACATGAACGCTGAACCAACGTGACGTGTGGACATGTTGAAGCTCAAATCAAAGCAATCGCAAATGATAGTGATCCCTACATGGAAACTGCCAGCCTGTGTGCCTGGACCCTGTTGACATGGGAAATCCGACTTACATGACAGCTGAATCAATACGCGACATGTGGACATGCGGAATGCAAACATTGGAGCAATCGCGAATGATAGTGATCTCTGCAGGCAGACTGCAAACCTGTGTCCCTGGATCCTGGTGACGTGGGGAAACCGCCGTACAGGAGTGAAACAAAGTGTGACGTGTGAACATGCGGAAACTCAAATCAAAGCAGTCGCAAATGATAGTGATCCCTGCGAGGAAACTGCAAATCTGTGTGCCTTAACCCTGGTGACATGTGAAAACTGACCGCACATGAAAGCTGAATCAACGTGTGACACATGTGGATCTCTCAAATCGAAGCAGTCTCAAATGGTAAAATGATCCTCGCAAGCAAACTGCAAACCTATGTACCTAGCCTGCGTGACATGTACATCCGGCTGCAAACAAAATCACTGGCAACTTCAAATAATCGGTTTTACCTACTTGACATGTGAACATCCGAAACCCTGAATCAAACAAGCTGAAACGATAGTGAACGCAGTTCGTCGTGACGCGTGGCTTTTCTTAACTGAATGAACACTACTGTTACAGCAAGCATGCTATGTCGATCAGTGATGTCTGTGATTGTGCAAACTGAAGTGCATCTTTCAACTGGCTCCAAACGTCCTGTTTTCACTCAGCGCGCTCGGAGTCTGAGCTGGTTGACGCCTGCTCCGTTTCGGATGAAGACGAATTTTCGGCCGCGATCTTGGCCTCTGGGAAACACTTCCGGCACTTTGGTTCCGTCTCAGCTGAACGGAAAAACCTAGCAAAACCATAATTCCATCCACATTTCGTGAACCACTCGGCGGGTGGTAAACATGCTTCTTTCGGATCGGGAATGTGAACTTTGCGTCCCCGCACATAGGGCGGCGGGAGGTTGATGTTTTTGATCTGTTCAGCCAGAGAACAAAACTGTTCTTTGACCCGTCTCACCTCTTCCGCAGAGGCTTGCGTGATTTGCGGCACGACTTTGGCCTCCTTGGCCTGTGGAGCTGTCTCGCTCAACTCCCCGTGGGGCTGGGGCAAGGCATTGGCTGGACTGACAGCCAAAGGATTTGCGGGTACGTGAAGCGCTGCTTCTTGCACGTACCTCTCAACTGCACGACTGGCCCAACGGCCTAGCAAAAGTATAGTGTGCAATGGTACATTGTGACCAGCCAAGAACTGAGCACCAGCGACACGCAAAGTGTGTCCGCTGAAGCGGTTCTCTTGCTTGTTGGAAGCTCCTAAGCGTGTCAAGGGAATCTGTGCCCGGTGCAAAATCCCTCGGATGGCTTGGATCGAGTGTTCTTTGGTCATCACATGGCCGTTGCCGTCATCAAACAAAGGCGCATCAGTTGGGGCTATTTCGCGCAGATCTAACAAGTCTTGCATCGCATGATATGGGCACAATGGCTCACGAGAGCCGTCCGCTGGGCATGCACAGACATGGGATCTCTCAATCATGTTGCCGCGCTGGTCCGTCTTTGACATTGGGAGGACCCACGCCACTTTCTTGTGGGGCAACTCAAACCTCACGTGTTTCACTAATGCCGCGGCTAGCTCAATCTCGCGGGTTAGGAACCAAGCTCCTAGAATGACCATGAAATAGTGCTGGGCAAAGTCTTTGAAATCTGGTGCTGTAAACAAAGGTCTGAGGCAGGTCAAAGGAAAACTGTCCTTCAGGCTAGGTCCGCCTAACCCACGCTCCACTGAGCGCACGGCGTCTCTGATTGCAAGCTTGACCTCGGCCGGCACTTCGCCATGAAGCAAGGTGTGTTGGCGAGTCGCCGCCGCAAAATAGATCTTGGTGGATTTGTATCCACCGGCTTTGAAACTCGCGCCAGCTTTTTCAATCAGAGGTGGGGTGAGTGGCCACGGTGGCTCGCCCCAGGCAGTCGCTATCTTCTGCCAAGTGTTGAGCCGGCTGCATGCCGGAAGTATGTCGGATTTGGCAAAGACGTCTGCTCTAAAAAGTTTCAAGGCTTCCTCACGTTGATTCGGTTTGGCCGCATCAAGAGCTCGCTGTAAACTACCCTGAGTGGCTGGTTTCAGCTGTGGCAGGTCTGACCGACCAGGCCGGGAGGGTTGACGTTCGAGTCTGGCCCCCCACATGTCCAGAGTTGCCTTCAACATGGCCTGCTGAGACTTGGAGATGCCGAGCTTGCTCCACTCGGCAAAGTGCTGTTTCACCGCTGACGGTGTGGTCCAACCGACCTCCACCATAGTAGCCAATGCTTCTTCGGCATCGGCGATGCGAGCAATCTCTGTAAGGCTGCCAAAACTGTCTTGGGCCATGCTGTCTGCCTTTGGAGGTGGAGCTTGCACAATGATGCGCATCAACAGGTGGCATTTTTTAAAATTATTTATAATAGGTCTGCCTATCTTGATTCACGTTCGTTGGACATGTGACTGGAATGCACTATCAATGGGATGTACATGCTCGCACATGTTGTCACAGGACTGATCCGTTTCCGTTTGTTTGCCATGCGTGCTTTCTCGCGACTGTTTAATACACCGACAAGTGGTTTCACAAGCAACATCCATCCAACATGCACAAACAAAGGAATGAAATCGATAATGCAAGCTCTGAAAACATAAACCACCTGAGGTTACCTCTGACCTATCAGATGAAAATGAACGCGTACAGTCTGCAGATGTCGGACGGCTCTGACTTTTATACACTGATCCCGGCCTGTCCGAGATGATGCATCCACCGGCGGGACGCGCAAATGACAAATTATGTGCTAAGCTGGGGACGGTCTAAGGACGTACGTCGTGTGAAGCTCGTGTCCTCTACTGTGCTTGCTCTGCAGGTCGTGTGTGGCCCATGTGGATGAGCAAGATGTCGTCTGTCACTATGGTGGATACGTCAAGAAGCCATTGTGCCACTTCAGCTTGACCCAATGACGAAGCCATGGCGCGCAGCTGTTTCAACATCTGCGCCAAGGTGCGCAGCTCGGGCAACCAGACTTCCACCCGGGCTCTGGTCAAGTGCTGACAGGCTATGTGTAGAGGAACAGGATGACGTGGTGTGACCCAAGACTCCACTCGCAACTGTGTGGTGATCATGTCAGGATGGCATTCATCATCGGCCAGAAGTGCAGCAGTGAAGCAGCAGCAAAGGGTGGCGTAGAAGCCGCGCACACCCTTCGCGGAGATCAGCTGGGTCATAGCGTTTGCCGCTTCCTTGCAACACTCAAAATGATCATGTTCAGCGCCGGATGGAAAAGCACGTAGCCATCTGACGAACCAAGGCAGGAGCAAAGATACTGCCTGGTTGCCAGTCTTCATGGCGAGATTGGAACTGGGCGTCAGTCCGAGAAAAACTTTTGAGCCACACCTCCCGGTGGATGTGAACTTCTTGTCACTCCTCACAGCCAGCTGTGCTACATTCCATGGAAGATGTAAATTTATCATTTTTCTGCGCGGACAAACGTCAAGGCTGATCGAACACTTTCAGAGAAAAGCATAAAACACTGTAAAACACAGTGTGAAATCAACATTTTCCATATCCATACAAATAAAATGCAATTGGCTTCCATATATATATATATATATGTATCGATGTATGCGCATATGCATCCATGATCATCCATCCATGTATATGATGTATGGATGACCATGGGTGTATAACAATGCATGCATGCATGCATGCATGCATGCATGTATGTATGTACGTATGTACGTACGTACGTACGGATGGATGGTGGACGGATGGAGGTAGGTAGGTATACGTAGGTAGTGCATACCGCTTGCTCTCCGTATTTCATCTTTTACTTTCAAGACCTTTCAGCATTTATAGTGATTGCATTGTGGGCCCCCAAGTCTGCTCCATCGTACGCCCACGCACCCGCATGGACTTGGTGTTGACCGCCACATCAGCCGAAACATTCTGGCCTAAACCGCTTAATGCGACGATCGAGCTTCCCTTGATCCATCTGCGGGTGATGGTGCGGAAACCTGAACTGAGTGCACGTCCGCAATACGAGGACACGTCAATGCTCATGAGCATCAGAAACTCTTTGATCAACTGAACTCCCAGCGGAGGGCCATCCAAGATGTGAGGGACTCTGAGACAAATGCAGGCAAAGAGCGTGTGCATCCACGACCGGTAGTTGTGGAAGACAATGCGGTCCATCCCTATGAGGGGGCTGCAAGGTGTGCAGGATTCACTTGGGCCGCCTCTTTCTGCAATCTTGTAGTCACTGTCTGCCCCTTTTGGCAAAATCACCCATATCATAAGGGTGAACTATAGTTACAACGAGCAGAACACAGCACCGGTCGTTTGTAGCGGTGAATGCTAAAAGCTGAAATCATGAACTTCCACACTACCCTACCCCGTACTGTACCCCCTGACAAAATATTTAAGACTTTGACTATTTCCGGACTCCTTATTAGTATACTAAGAAATACCATTAGTATACTAGTAAGGAAAGTAAGGCGCAATTAAGGCCTAAAATCCACTACGCCTGATTTTGTACCCAATTCTTTATGAGGCACCTAATCCAGCCCGCATCAAAAAAAAGTCACCATTTTGTTATGTGTATCCTAATAAGGATTTATATCCCCAAAACATACAAAAACTTAATACTATGCTATTAATGCAATTTGCATCCTTATTAGGATACTATTAAGGTTTTGTATCCAAGCCCGGCCCTGGGGGATACAAAACATTAATAGTCAGCTAATAAAGTAAAATCTCATCCCTCTCAATCACTATTAGGGCACTATTAAGTGTTTGTATCCAAGCCAGGTCTTTGGGGATACAAAAAATTAATAGTTACCTAATAAGGTCAAATCTCAGTCCTCCCAATAATGATTCGGGCACTATTAAGGTTTTGTATCCAAGCATGATCTTGGGGGATACAAAGAAAGTGCAAAAACCTAATTGGCCTCTAATAAGGAGCAATTGTGGATTCTTTATTAGGGGGCTATTTAGAGAGTGTATACACAACTCTAAACTGTAATGTAAAAAGGGTTTTATGGAAATCTCTTCAACCTTTCTATTTTTGGGGTAATTTGGAAGTCATCCCTGAAGCGCCTTCCACTTCCAAGCTATCAGCAGTGTGGATGTCTCTGCTACCATTTTGCTTAATGTGACATGTCACAACGGTATTCGTTGCATAATGCTTTGTGGCATATTTTGGTTAGGTTGGTTGATGGATGTGGGGAGATATGAGGGAGTTGCGCCATCTATGTCCCAAAAAGGCAGCTTGATGTTGAACAAAAAATATGGAAGCAAAACCACCAGGAAAGACATCAGAGCTATCCCAAGACGGGATGTTTTCATAAACGCTCACCAACGCGCGCGCGCGCGTTGGCGCAAAACGCTCACCCCGACTCGTTGCATTGGGATCACCGCCCCGGGGAGAATGTCCACAACCAAAAGATCCCGACTTAAAACCATCCCGTCTTGGTTTTGCCTCCATATTTTTTTTTTCAACATCAAGCTGCCTTTTTGGGACATAGATGGCGCAAATCATAAATGGATTACTTACGACACGGTCTAAAACTTAAGAAAATTCATAGGGTAATTAGCTTTAATCAAGCAGACTTCTTAAAACCATACATTGACTTCAACACTGAAAAGAGAAAGAATGCTAAAACTGAGTTTGAAAAAGATTTGTTTAAGTTAATGATTAACAGCGTATTTGGTAAAACAATAGAGAATGTAAGAAAGCACGTTTATTTTGAATTAGTTGATAATCCCGTTAGATTTCAAAAACTAGTCAATAAACCAACCTACAAGCATAGACATACTAACAAGGATTAACCAAAAAGTTGATCTCCACAATGTTGTATAAAATCTTATTAGACATCTATTAATGTAACACTTCCTTATTAGGAACCTACCAATCTTTCATACAAAAATCATTCCCCATCAATTTTGTATAAAACCTTATTAGGCATCTATTAATGCAAAAAATCCTTATTAGGTCCCTAATAAGATTTTATACAAACAAAAAATTGTATATATAAGACTTATTAGCATGCTAATAATGTTTTTTTCATTATTAGCATACATAATGAATCATGCAAAATGCCAAAATCAATCCTTATTAGGCTACTAATTATTTTCCAAAAAATCAGGGGATACAAACCCGTTTTCATATTTACTATCTAAAAATCTCTTAGGGTAGTACGGGGGGGGGGCAGTGTGGAAGTTCATGATATTAAGTTGTTGTATCCAAGCCCGGTCTTTGGGGATACAAAAAATGAATAGTCCCCGAATAAGGTAAAATCTCAGTCCTCCAAACCATTATTAGGTGCCGAATCTTGATCGAGATCTCTTTCTCTCCTTGTGGTCATGGCCACCACTTTGCCCCTTTTGCAATGAGAAAAGTATAGCAATCCATAAGTTTCTTGCGTACCCCCCACGAGCCCCCCCCAACAAGGATTTCAGCCAAAAAGAAATAAGTTCGGAATAAGCTTAATTTCGTACAAAAAAAAAACTGCAAAAACCTAAACCTTATTCCGGCCATATTTCCGATCTGCAATGAACCCGTTAAGGCTGAAATAAGGCTTATTCCTGTACCATTTCTCTTCCATGCCCAAACCTGTTGTGGACGTGATTTTTTCCCGCAGGTTCCTGCATTGTTCCTGTGTTATTCCTGTGCTATTTTTTGGGAGGTTAAATTTCCCAATATTTCCCCACATCTTTGTGTGGGGTTCTTGTTTTTGATTCTGTATCCCGGGTGCCTCCTCCTCCCGCCTCCTCCTCCTCCTCCCGCCACACAACTTTGTCACATACAATAACTTCACACACACACAAACTTAACATACAATAACTTCACACTTCACACACACTCACACACACAATTCTCACATACAAAAGCTTCAGACACAAACTTAACATACAATAACTTCACACACACTTAACTTAACATACAATAACTTCACACACACTCACATACAATAACTTCACACACACACAAACTTAACATACAATAACTTTACGCCGCGGCACTTTGCGTGGCAGGCGTGGCACAACCGTACACACAAACTTAACATACAATAACTTTACGCCGCGGCACTTTGCGTGGCAGGCGTGGCGCAATCTCACATCCACCTTCGTTTCGCGTGGCAGGCGTGGCACAATCTCACATCCACCATCGTTTCGCGTGGCAGGCATGGCACTCGTGGCACTGGGTGGCGCGCTTGGACTGGCTTGGTCGCCCGTGACGCCCGTGACGCCGCGCCACTTTGCGTGGCAGGCGTGGCACAATCTCACCTTCGTTTTGCGTGGCAGGCGTGGCACTCATGGCACTCGGTGGCGCGCTTGGACTGGCTTGGTCGCCCGTGACGCCCGTGACGCCGCGGCACTTTGCGTGGAAGGCGTGGCACAACCTCACATCCACCTTCGTTTTGCGTGGCAGGCGTGGCACAATCTCACATCCACCATCGTTTCGCGTGGCAGGCGTGGCACTCATGGCACTCGGTGGCGCGCTTGGACTGGCTTGGTCGCCCGTGACGCCCGTGACGCCCGTGACGCCGCGTCACTTTGCGTGCTTTTGCGTGGCAGGCGTGGCACAGTCTCAGATCCACCATCGTTTCGCGTGGCAGGCGTGGACTTTGTCAGACACCATCTTTCACATACAACTTTCACACACAACTTTGTCAACCAGCATCTTTCACATATGGACTGGCTTGGTCGCCCGTGATGTCCGTGACGTCGCGGCACTTTGCGTGGTAGGTGTGGCACAAAGTCACATCTACCGTGGTTTTGCGTGGCAGTCGTGGCACAAACTCACATCGTCTACCATCGTTTTGCGTGGTAGGCGTTGCGTGGCAAGCGTTGCGTGGCATGCGTGGCACTGATGGCACTGGGTGGCGTGCTAAGCGTGGCACAAACTCACATCTACCATCGTTTTGCGTGGCAGGCGTGGCGTGGCACTGATGGCACTGGGTGGCGCGCTTGGTCTGATTTGTTCGCACACATACATACATACATACGTACGTACGTACGTACGTGCATGCATACTATCTTTTCACATACTTTCACACACAGTCTTTCACCACCTCCTTTGTCTTTCCTTCCTTCCCCGTCCGCGCTACAACCTTTGAAGCTCAGTATTGGAAGAAGCTGACTTGTGGGGTTATCCGGTCCTTTAATTTTTGAAAACAGTTTCAAACTCAATTTGAGGTAGAGATGTCGTTTAATAGTTCACATGAGTCTGTGTGGATTGGGTCCACTAAAAGCATTACAGAATGGAATCAGAACAGAATGGAACCGGTGTGATTTCATGTGGCTTTGCCCAGTGGAGTTGTGCGCCCCAAGCCCGGTCCCAGTCCTCAGTCCCAAAAACATATCCCAACACATATTGAAGACATTTCCAAATACATCCAACATTTGAAAATACATTTGCAAACAAATTCACTACACCTTATCTAATTTCAAGGGAATGAAAAGCATGTTTTCTGATGATTCAGCACGGGTAGGTACATATGACACTTTCTATGGGTACGGTACGGTGGGTACAGTGGGTACGGTACGGTGGGTACGGTGGGGTACGGTACGGTGAGTACGGTGGGTACGGTACGGTGGGTACGGTGGGTACGGTACAGTGGGTACGGTGGGTACGGTACGATGGGTACGGTGGGTACGGTACGGGGGGTACGGTGGGTACGGTACGGGGGGTACGGCACCGTACCGTACCGTACCCACCGTACCGTACCGCTGTACCCACTGTACCGTACCCACTGTACCCACTGTACCGTACCCAGCTGGGGTGGATTTAGTAAGGTTCTTTGCGCTGATTGGTGGTGCTTCTATGTTTTAAGACATGGTTATAGAGTTGGTTTTTAACATATGTTACAAGTCATTCAGGGATATGTATGTGTTGCCCAAAACTCTCTTGATTTAACATATTGGAGAAAACGTATTGCTTCAAACATGTTTGTCTTGTTTAGATGTTACTGTTTCCATGATCAACTCATGTAAATTCATATGTCACATGCCTTGCCGAAGGCTAAACCCTCCTGAGCAAAGATCATTTACCAGTGTTTCCATAATGAATTCAGATTTCCTGTCCTGGCCAAGGAGGTACACCTTCCTGAGCAAGGATTTCATTCACAAGTTTTCATTATCACACCTCCTGACCAGGACCAAGGAGGTGCACGCAACAATCATTGACATGTTATCATTATCCATCAGTGTCCTGACCAAGGAGGTGCACCCTCCTGAGCAAGGATCACTGACATTCATCATATAAGCTTCCTTGGCCAAGGAGGTAGACACTCCTGAGAAAAGTGTTTTGTGAACTTCTTCTTTTTTTTGCCACGTTCATTGCGCAGAGAGGCTTCTATAGTTTCCTGGACAATTGGTCAACACCAGCAGCTACTAGGGGGAAGTCACGCAAGGAGGCTCCTTAGGTCTCCTGTGTCAGTAGCAGTGTTTTCTCAACCAATGCTTTCAGCCATGTGTCAGACGAGCCAAGCGACAAGATTTGGCCAGCTCCTCATGCCGGTGAGCCCAAAGAGGTCGACTTTGTTTTGCAATTCTGAGAAGCCATGGAAGCAGGATGCAGCAACCTCAGCCCAGATGGTTCAACAGCAGCTTCTCCGCAGGGTGGGCTCAAAGACAAGCATGGCTATTTGATGAACAGCGCATCTTGACTGCCGCCAGAAGTTTCGACTCTTTTTGCTCAAGTTTTGTTACTAAACTAAACCCCTATGTTTAACACTGACAGCTGAGAACTCGGAGACACGCCAGTTAGCCAAAAAGATCCGAGCAGAGCTGCGCTGTTGAAGCTGCTATTTCCCAGACTGAGATTCACATACTTGCTGAAGATCATTTTTGGACGTCGCATCTGACCGTTGTCCGGAGTGTATCAACGTCTCATCGCCGCAGGGGAGACGCGGCTGAGGGGAAAAACTGGCCGAAGGGGTCACTTTGAACAGTGGCTGAGTGTCATTCAGTAATTTCTTTCATGGCGGCAGCCAGCTTGGCAGGCTTTCCTATCAGTTGATCAGTCATTATTATTGTTAGGCTGCAAGCCGCACACATTTCCCTTTCTGCTTGACCGGCTCAAACCTAGGGATCAGCAAGTATGTCAGAGCAGTTGGGCAACTGTTCGCTTGGCGGCTATGATGATGATGCACATGTGAAAGCTTGCTCTGCAGGTGCAAAATGTGCTCGATGCACATGGGTGAAATATAAGCCTGTATGGCAGAAAGAATTAGCATGGTTGGACGCCAAAATGAATATGGAGAGTGGCAGTTGGGGCTTGGGCTGCCGACTGTGCCATGATGCTCAGGAAGTGAGTCCTGAAGCCATGTCCAAGTTTCCGGTTTCGAGGCATCACTTTGCAAGGTATGAAGTGAACAGTGGTGACATTCGTGTGGCTCGTTTCCGTAAACATGCTGCTTCGCCTGCTCACCGCACTGCTGAAAGTATGGCCGGTGGCAAAGCGCCAGCGCTTGAGGAAATTGGTGGTTTCTCGCCAACCATGTCTGAATGGAAGTCAGTCATCTCTCACAGCAAGCCGGGTCACTGTCAAGCCGATGTGGACGATGCTGGAAACCGCAAAAAGGCTCACATGATGCGTTGGTGCTTGGCTGAAGCTCATCGGCAAAAGCAGAGAGAGGCAATCCAAACAGCTCTCTGCGTTTCCCTTGCCCAAGATCAACGTGGACGCAGGTTCTTGGTCCGCTTTCGTGCAGTGGACGCTAAGTTAGCAGTGTGTTATGGAACACTCCAGTTGGTCAAAGTAGTGGCCTCACCCAATGCTCCCGGCGCTCAAGGTATCAGGCAGATGACTTTGAAGGCCCTGCAAAATTTTTGTACGCCGTCACTTCCGCCAACTTATGGTGGACTCTTACCAGGAGCCAAGGAGGAGAAACCGTGTGACAATGACTTGCTGCAGGCCTTGATGGGCAAAGTGGAATGCATTGCTGCCGACGCAGCTGGCGATGAACAGCTGGCCATGCGTGACCTTGCGGGCATCAGTGGCCCGGACATCGTGGAGCTCCAGGACGTGATGGGTCAATCTTTTCAGAACTTGAAGGCGCGGGGCGCAATTGCTTTTCTTTGTGGTGTGGATATTAATTATTTTGGTTTTCCCTGGATTCCCTGAGGTTCTTGGCAAAGACCGCGCTCACGCAGCGCAAAGAATGTTGAGCCGCCCATGGGCAGCTGATCCGCAGTTGAAGGAGGTGATTGAAGAGTTTGTGGAGAAGCCGCACTCTGTTGCCCGACTCATCAACAATAGCCATGTCTTCAAAGATTTGTACTCTGACTTCCGGCAAAAAAGTCACGAAAAGGTTCCCATTGCCAAGAGCATTCGTGACTTAGCTTTTGCACCGCAAAGATACAGCTCTGAGTCCAAAGTACTTGCTCGACTGGTCTTGACTTGGGATGCAGTCCTTGGTGTGCTCACCGCAGTTCCAGACATGAGAGGCCGAACTTCGGCTGAAGACGCAGCATGCCTTGCTACCTTGCAGTTTTTGACTCCAGAAAAAGCTTTGCTTTTGAGCATGCTTGCGGATGCGGCCCTTGAGTTGCATAGAGTGGTGAGGGCATTCGACACAGATGTCTGTGATGAGTCCGAACTTCCATATGAGCTTGATCGGTATCGAGGTGTGATCCGGAAGCTCTTTGTGGAAGGAGCTTGCCTTCATGTTGGTCTGACAAAGATCATGTTGCAGCACCTGTCGGAGCAGCGGCTGCTGATATCCCAAGGATTTCGAGCCAAATTGGGAGGAGCAGATGCCGTCACAGAAGAGCTGAAGCGTCAGTGTTTGAAGCGCATGTCTGCTTACGTTGCTGTGGCTGAATCTGTGCTGGAAGGAGAATTCCCACATTTTCAACTGGTGTCCTCTCTGCGTGTTTTCTCCCTCTCGGATGAATCGAGGCTCAAGAAACAGCTGGAAAGTGGTGAGCGAGCCAATTGTCTTGAAAAGTTGGCCCGGGCCATTGGTGTGGAGGAGGAATCTTTGAAATATGAGTTCGAACATTTCCTACCCATTGCCAGCAAATATGCCAGAATAGAGGGCTTGGAAAATTTTCACGCATGGAAGAAAGCAATTCAATGCACAGAGAAGAATCGCATGGTTCATTCCGCAGATGCGCTCATCCCAGCCCTTGCTCGATTGGCCTGCTGGAGCTGCAGTTCCTCTGGTGTGGAGCGTGGGTTTTCAGCTGCGCAAGGTAGCAAGCAATTGGGTCAATCCCAAGACGAGAACGCTACCTTGGAAGAAGTCATGTTGATTTTGCAACAAGTTGTCTCGTCCCCCGAATTTGGAGCAGGAGAAGAAAAGGAGCTGATCTGCGCTGCCAAGAAAGTTTGGGTTGCTCATTGCAGCCGAGTCCGGGCAAGTGGTTCACTGAAGAGAGTTCAGCGGTGGGACAAGTGCATCCCAAGGACTGTGTTTTCCTGCTGTGTAATTATTTTCCAGTTGCAAGCTTGCAATTAACATTCTCTGCTTTGTTCAGGAAAAAATTGAAAGATGGTGAAGCTGGTTTTCTGCAGGGCTGCGCGATTGTCAATGACCAGCTGGCATCCAGCAGCTCTGCCGCCGCAAGCCTGCCCAAAACAGTGTCTTCTGCGGATGACATAGCCGAAGTGTTTGGGGAGAAGCAGATGGCAGAACTCCGGTTTAACGCTGACAAAAAAAGTAAGGCCCAAATTGAAGAAGCTTTGCTGGGTGTCATCCATTCATCGGAGATCACTGACGCTGTCCGAGCTTTGGTGGCGACCACCGCAGAGAAGCTCGCAAAGACACAACGACAAAGAAACAATGATCAAAAATTGGTCCAGAGCAGAGTCAGCAACAAAGAGGTTACTCGTCAATTTTAAGTTTTGTTTGCTTTCATTATTCCGAAAATTATTTTCAACTAATCTGGACAACGGCGCAGGCTGCATGGTGCGACCAAGCTCCAATCTACGTTGGCTTCTGCCCAGACGTGCATGTTCCGGCAGATGCCACTATTGTCCGCGATTTGCATGCTGGGAGGATCTTTGTTTGCCAAGACCCCACCAATGTGTCCCCTACCCTACGTTTTTTTGCAGGTCTCGTGGGTGGAATCCTTGCGTGTCCCAAGTTTGTGGAGACCAAGGGTCACTTTGGGGTGGCGTTAGCTTTCAAACCCGCGATCAAAGTCAAGAGGAGCTTCTTCATGACGCCTGCCTTTGTCAATGGCAACAGAGCATTGTGCACAGACTTGGCTGAAGTGCTGCAACTTCAGGAGTGCAACTTCCAGTTGCTGAACCGACAAGGCTTGGGTGACGCCATCGCGAAGCTGACTGTGTCCAGGGCTCGCCAACTCATTGTCCTTCGCAATGACCAAATTGATGAAGATTTTCCCCAAGTGCGGCTGCAGTTCACCGGCTTGAGTGAAGCTGTCGAGCACTGGGTCTTCTGCTCCGAGGACAAGTCTCGAAGTAGATCTGGTATTGCTGCATCCTATTAGTGCTTGCACGGTCTAAAGATTTCTTCCCTTGGCGGAAAAATGGAGCAGCGCACGGGACGCCACAGTCCACATCAGGTTGCAAACTTGGCAGTTGCCAACTGACGTGCACCACCTTGTACTCTGACCGGCACGGTCCATGTATGCATGTTTCTCCGCAGCCGTTTTTAGCGCTCAAACTGTGTTCCCGACTGTCGCAGTGACATGGTGCGACTCTGCTGGCTGTTGTGGCTGGCCGTGGCGTTGGCAGCGCCAGAAACCCCGCCAAGGCCTTCTGAGCCTGGCAGCGGCAGTGGCAGTGGTGTGCCTGCGGGAGCAGCAGCCAATAATCTGGCTGGGCAGCTTGCTCACCAAATTTGGCAGATTCTCCAAGGCTCGGTAACCGCGCCGCCTGGAATGATGAGTGGGCCGAGTGCTTCTGAAGCTGCTGCTCCTTCTGTAGGAGCACCTGGACATTCCGCACCAACGCACGGAGCGTCAAGTTCAGCACCTGGACCACTGCCCGCCGCCACTAACCCACCTGGACCAACTGAGGAGTCTGAGGAGCCGCCTTGGAGACGATCAAGGAGCCGATTGCCTCCTGCGGCAGCCAGTGCCGAACCACCTGCGCCGCCTCCCTTGGTTTCAGCGCCGCCACCTGGACCTGGCAGTGCTGCCGCGGTACCCACTCCAGCCACCGATGTCGTGGACGTGGAAAGAGAGCCGGGGGAATCCAGACCTGCAGTGAGACTGGATTTGAGGGCTTGCCGCGTCTGTGGTGCGCAAGCCTATCAAGGAAAGAGTATATGTTTGAATATGGAGCGCGTGTCTCGGCGCAATATTTGCCTTGTTTGGGGGGGGTGTTTTTGTGGGTTAAAGAACAATAAATTGTAATGTGTGCAATTCTTTGCCCGTGCCAGGACTTATACAAGTCGTGGAAGAACCCTTCTCGCAAACGCCAGAAGACCAACCGTGGCAAAAGGAGGCCGGTATGGTGGGCCGACAACAAGAACAAATGGGATCCGGAAGATCCCGAGGACGATGATGAGGGCGGCTGGGAGCCAAAGGCTCCATTGTACAAAGGCCATTGGCAAGACTGGGGAGACTCAAGTTCAGGCGGTCGTTGGGCCTGGGCCTGGGTAAATTAATGCAGTTTCTGTCGCACAAACTGCAGGAGTTTAAAAATTTGCGTGCAGACGGGGTGGGAGCTGAGGGCTTGGACTTCATTGTCATGCCAGGGATACAGTATACTAAGGAGGCCATAGTCACAGTCTCCTGCATGGCCAAGGAAGCTTAGCGAAGCTCCTTATTCCTGCAGTGTGTTCGCACACCAAAGCTTCAATAAAAGCAGGTCCGCTATAGAGCTCATATAGAGCTCATTCGATTCAAGGAGAGACGGTCAAAAATGAAGATACCTATCTCCTGTGTGTCAGTGCCACCCGCCTAACTCAAGCAAACTCGTCCACGAAGGAGGTTCAAGCGAAGTCTCCTGTGCGCGACGACGGAAGAGAAAATGAAATTGTTTTTGGGCAACTTTGAGTGCGGAAGGATCCTGTCCTGCAGCAACTACGGCTGTCAATTGGCATGCGCTGCAATAGCAATCAAGGAGGCTCAAGTAGACTCCTGCAAGGACGGAGGCATCGTACTTCTGAATGCACTCAGTAACAAGGTACAAGGAGGTGCAAGAGGTCTCCTGGTCCTGTACAGGCCGAACGTTTCATGTTGCAAGGAGGCTTCTGCAGTCTCCTGTTGTCTATTTTTGCCTTCCGCGGGCAGCAAGTTGAGTTCAAAAAGATCGCTACTAAGGCCTCTCCCTACTATTTCCAGGAAGCAGTTCGACCGCCATGTGTTGCACGTGTTCACCATGTACAGCATGGCAGGCAAATACGCGTTTGGCCGCCGTGTTTGTACACGGTTTCCCATGTGCTAACATGGCAGCCTCCTTTCTTTATCAAGGAGGCTGCCCCATGTTAGCGCACGGTCTGCCATGTGGTAGCACGGCAGGCAAATACGCGTTTGGCCGCCGTGTTCTTACACGGTTGACCATGTGCTAACATGGCAGTCCTGGTCTTTGAACTCCCCAGAGGACCCGAATTTAGTACGGCTCATGAGCATGGCAGCCAAATACGCGTTGACTCTTGCAGCTGGCCCGAATTTAGTACGGGTCACGAGCATGGCAGTCAAATACGCGTTGAATACTGCATTTGGCCCGAATTTAGTACGGGTCACACGCATGGCATGGTACAACCGTCTTGATTTCAGCAGGAGACATTTTAAGATCCTTGCAGTCCTGGCCCAGCTGTGAGTGTGCCTCCAACTTAGTTATTACTTCCCACGGCTGAGTTTCTGCAGAGTGGGTGCGTAGTAGCCATGGCTCCCAAGAAGTCAGCAGCGAAGAGAGGCGCGGAGCTGTTACCTGAAACTGCTGAGCCCAAGGCCAAGGCTGCCAAGGCTGCCGCCAAGACTCCGAAAGCTAATGGCAGCCAAGACCCGGCACTCATGGCCAACTTGGCTTCTGGCAGCCCGGGGGTGTCTTCACAGGCGCTTTGCCTGAATGGTGGAGTTTGGGCAAAACATGCAGAGAATGTCCGACGTTTCAAAGAGCAGGCAGTGAGTGAAGATGCTGTGCAGCTCCGCCCCAACACGCACAGCTTTGGCCAGCCCTTTGATGAAAAGGCTGCTCTGGAAAGCCTCAAGCGTGAAGGCAAGTACCTTTGCATCATGAATGCTTTGTGGCTTGACCAGAGCTGGTCTGCCACGCCGCAGATACCAATCAGTCAAGGCGCCATTGACCAAGTGAAGTCCCATTGGTTTTCTACACCGAATGGTTTGGACCAGCAGCAAGTCACTGTGGGCTTCTTGCGGCGAGAGGTGGACTCAAAGACTGTGCCAGCCTTTGGCACTTGGAAGCGTCTCAGTGCTGAAGAGTCCATCATTGCCTTCTTCGAAGCAGCTGCCGCCGAAGCGCAGAAAGTGGAAGCAGGTGCAGCGGGTGATCAGTTGCAGGAATGGCTAGGTCATTGTTTATCCTGCCCAGTGTTGATCAGGGTTGTAGCTGACTCGCAAGAGATGGAGTGGGTGGCCCAGCAGCTGAGGGAGGATCAGACCCAACTGTCCTTCCTCGCCCGCACACCCACACAGAGGGTGTTTGACGTCATGCAGAAGAGAGAGGCGATGGGCGTGGCTTACACGCCAGAGGCGCTTCTGCAGTTGTATGACGAGAAGCTCAAGTTCAGCGCCAAGTCGGAGAAGATTACCAAAGGACCCCTGTTACTGTTTATCTTTTTGTGTACTGAAAGGAAGGATTTTTTTTTTGGCCACCCATCACCCATATGAGCAGGATTTCTGGGCCATGCTTCCATGGTCATGGACCGTGCTTTGCGGCATGACGCAATTCTGCAGGTGATCCTGGCGGAAGAAGCTTGTGGCAAGAGCCTTTGGGATTCTGTCAGCAAGTTGCACGCCATGGTCTCCAAGTCTACCCGCTTTGAAGAAGTTGCTTGGCTTTTCACGCACATGCACGATTCCAAACTGGCTGGCCTTCTTGAAGGAGAAGTGTCTGTGCGGCAGTTGACGGGCCAGGGTGCTACAGGTGGCAAAGGTCTGTGCGATCTGGTCTTATACAAGATGAGGCTCAGAGACTACTTCATCAGCGACTTCTTGCTTTCAACTGAAGCCAAAGAGATGCCTGAGAAATACCGCCAAGCTCTCAAAGACCTCTTTGCTTCCCACGAAGCCTTCCGAAGAAAGGTCGGTTTCCCGGACAGCCCGGCGGACCTCTCATGGAAAGCTGGGTGGTCACGCTCTGCTGATCACGTAATGCAACTGATTCAGGACCGTGGGGCCATCCATTTTGTTTAACATAGTATTTTTTCAGTTTTTATTACCGCATGGTTTTCGATTTATCAACAGCACCCAGGAGTCAGTCTTTGGCACGGTCTTTGACGACAATCTCAAAGCAGCTGTGGTGGCAGGTAAAGCTCCCCTGGATGCCTTGACCATGGATACCAAATTGGGTGAGCGCTATAGAGAATTCCAGCAGCTCTTGCGGCAAGAGCTGGATGAGGCCAGGGCAGAAGCATCTGCAGCAGCCCGAGCTGAAGCCCAGCAAGGCGCAACTCAAGACCCGGAGGCCCAGGAGGGTTTGCCAGTCAGAAGTGCTGCTTTCAAGGCATTCCTGGGGGATGTGCAGGCCAAAATCGGGGAGATCAAGAATGAAGAGACTCTGGTGCAAATTCAGTACTTCGAGGACAAAGCTCGCAACCTCATGGCTTCCAACGTCCAGCTCTTTGTCTTCCAACCGTCAGAGAATGAGTTGTGCGCGTACTTTGACAAAGCAGCTGCTTGCCAAGTCAGAGGTGGTGGTAATCAGTGGGTGGGAATCTTGCTGGATCCTGCTCAGTGGGGTGAAGCTGTGACGAACCCACACATTCGTGTTTGCCCGTTGAACCAGCAGTACTTGAAGACCTTCTTGGCGTCAGTGGTCAAGTCCAGGGACAAGCAGCAGCTGACCTTGCACCATCGCGACCTCTTTATCTACTTTGATTCGTTCTTGCCTGGCAATTTGAACAAAGTGCTAGGTTCTTTCCAGACTCCAGCCGGAGATGCCTTGAACAAAAACTCCTTCGGTGTCTTCATCTCCTATGATGAGGAAAGTCTCAAGCAACGCCGGCAGTACATCAAAGCAAACTCAACGACTTTTCAGCAAGTTGAGCTAATGACGCTGGTGACTGCTGAGAATTTTGGAGACGCCATGACCAAAACAAACCGCAAGATCTACAAGGGGACCAACTTCGGGAACAAGATCGGAGACGTGTTGTTGGAGAGCCCCAAATTGCTTTGGTCTATGGCTTTGAAGGCATGGATTGAAGATTTTTTAGAAGGGGGGTGCAGGCTTTTTTTTGGCCTTTTTCCCTTGCCACTGCATTTGTGGGCAGGACAAAATCACTTTGTTTGGCAAGTACCGGGTGTCCGTTGGTGGTCGCACCACCGGGGAAGCAGAGAGCCATCGTGGAGTCAGCAACCGCAAGCTCAACACTGAAGAGCCCGTGTTTTGGCATAGCCGTCCTTTGAGCCTTTGCCTTGAGCTTTTGGCCAGTTACAACCTGGCTGCCGTGGTGGACGCTGGAGCTGGCGATGGGAACATGGCCCTGGCGTGCGCTTTGAGTCGCATGCCTTACTGCGGTCTCTGCCTCACTGAAGATCATTTGACCCAGGTCCAAGACCGCATTGTCACTGAGATCATGCTGCGCATGCTCTCTTCTTCCGAAAGCGTGTTCGAACCCAAGTTGGCTGCAAGTTGCTCGGCCTTTTGTTTGTTTTTGGTGTAGCGCCTTTCATTCAAATGTATTTTCAGCGCGTCAGTCAGGTTTGGGAGGAGATCGCGCTGGCCGGTCGTCTCAGCCAAGCGGTGCAAGGACGGCAGAGCAGCAAGGCGTCAGCCATCCAGCCTCTAGCGGAACGACTGGCAACCCACCCAATACCAGTGGCAATGACAGTGGCACAGCAGCGTCTGTGCTGAATGAGTTCAGGGCTCAGTTGGCGAACCTCCAGCAGCAAGGCCAGTGATATTTTTGGGATGAGGATCACGATCGGCGCAAAATGGTCTTTGAGGCGTTTGGCCCGACCTGACAAGAGGTCGAAGATTCATTTGGACAAGGCTGACTGACAGAGTAGCTGTGGTTTTGCACTCACAGCTCAAAAATTGGAAGGAAAAGGTCTTTGCAGCAACACCTTTTCCGTTTGAGTCACTGCGCATGGCGCTGTCAATCAGAGAGACCAGCCACATCGCACACATGGCCGCTGTCGTTTCAGCAAGATTTTTTTTGGTAGGTTTATTCCATCATGGCGCCGCGGTTGTCCAAGCCGAGAGCCACGGCCAGTGGGCGCGCAAAGACCCCCCTACCAGCAGCGACAGAAACCGAGAGTAGAAAAGCAACCAAGCGGCCAGCTTCAGACCAGGGAGGCGCAAGCAAGACTGCCAAGACCACGCTGCTCCCAGCAGAGCCTGGCAAAGTGAAACTCATAGCTGCGCAGCCTCCAAACACCCCGGCCGAAGTCACGCTGGCTTCTGACTGCTCTGGTCTTTGCACTGAAGGGCCAGCGGTGCGAGTGAACTTGCCTTCATCTGTCAATGTGAAGCACATCTACACTTCTGAAATTGATTCCAACTTCAGGAGCACAAGTAATTAATTTACAATGATGATGGGGTTCTATTTTTTTTGTTCAAAGTGATTTTTTAATCTCCCTGAAGGAAATTCATTTCTGAGTTTGTCAAGCCCCAGCAGTTGGAGAACGACATGGAGAACACATTGCATCTTGGGCGTGTGTGGTTTGATGTTGACCTTTACGCGGTCGGCAGCCCATGTCAAAGTTGGAGTCTTGCCGGTAGTAAGTCTGGGGCTGCAGATTCCAGAGGCGGTCTCATGGCTCTGATCCCTTTTCAAATTGAAAAGCACAAGCCTCGCAGCTTTATCTCCGAGAATGTAAAGGGCCTCCCGTCACTCTTTCCCAAGGAATTCAACTGGCTGATCCAAGCTTTGAGAGACATTCAGCTTCCCAATGGTGAGCAATGCCTCTTATCTTGCTTCAGAATGTTTTGTGAACGCATCTTCTTTTTTAATTGTTTCAACCGCATAGTGGCTCGCAGAAGCTCTGCCATGGTGTGCTGCAGGCTACAATGTTTATTACAAGCTGCTGGACACACAGCACTTCGGAATTCCGCAGCACCGCGAACGGGTCTATATCATCGGTATTCGCCGAGACGTGCAAGTGAAGCACTTTGAGTGGCCAGTGCCTTTCAAGGAGCGGCTCACGCTCAAGCAGCTCCTTGGCAATCCTGCCATGGAATGGAAGTGCAACTTGCGGGAGAAGACACACGATGTCGACGGCTCAGCTCTATCCAGCACAGCCCGCAAGAACTTGATCCAGTTTCAAGACTTTTTGGACAAGAATCCGGCCAAACAAGACTCTGACTTCATTGTCGACACAGGCGGTTCTTCAGCAACTTGGATGGAGGACAAATGCCCCTGCCTCACTGCCACCAGATGCAAAGGAAAGCATTGCTACTGGTGGCATCAAGGCCAGAGGTTCCTCACCCCGACAGATTTTTTTTTGCTTCAAGGCGTGTGGCCTGGGGCTTACAAGCCTGGAGATGTTGAAGAACTTCAACGTTTTCCACAAAGGGTATTAGGACATATGATTGGCAACGCCATGTCTGTTTGTGTAGTGCGACGCTTAGCGCGATGCATTTTCCAAGCACGTGGCATTCTTTGAGGAATAGGCGGCATGTTTCCAGTTTGACCTGTTGAAAATCATTTGAGTCAGCTGCGCTAGCCGTGGTTACCACATTGCTTGCACATTCAGTGCTGAACATTGCCGCAATGCAATTCAACCTCGGTTTTGCTTTGTCCATCACATCGACCCATTCGACCCAGGTTTTTTGGCTCACAAAACTAGTCTAACTTGCAACATGGCAGCAGCAGGTGAGAAGAGATTGCCCCAAGGTGTCCTCAACAGAGCTGACTTGCAGTTGGGGGTCCAAGCCTTCTTGCGGTGGGATCCAGCACTCAAGGAGAAGAGCGCGTTCGAGCTGGAAAATGCTCGTGAGGCTTTGATTTTTTGCCAGCCTTTCTTCAAGGAAGACCGCACTAGGTCATGTGCGCTTGCCTGTGCCATCATGTTTTTGACCATCCTTCAGATGACGCTGGACCGCCCTGACACAGAGCCCACAGACTGTACATGGACCGCTCACCTTTACACCAGGTCTGGACAAATCCAGCCTATGCAAGAGAAGATCGAGAAATGTCCAGCTTTGACATCGCGCGAGTTGCTTGCAGGAAAGGTTGGTGAGTTGGATAGCGCTGCTTCTTTTCTTTTGGGCGCCATCAACGCCATGCCTCATGACCTGCTGCCCCAGGCGCCGCATTTCGAAGGCTGTTTCGCTTGCCTGGACGACTTGTTGGTGCATATGAAGTTTCGACTTCACCAAAGTTCTTCTGCTATTTAGGTTCGAGACCGAGGCATGTGAGCTGAACAAATGTCCTTTGGTGCTGCTCGCTTTCGCATAAACACAGTGGCCCCGAGAACGACCCACAAACTTTCAAGGAGGACATCGCCCTTAAGATCGAAACCTCCTGTAACGCCAAAGTTATTGATTGATCATAGCTCGACAGACATTATAAGGAAGGCCTTGCAAGGTCTCCTGCGCACAAGCTGTTTTCAAGGAGGTGTTGCCTCCTTTGTTAAAATTTATGGGAGGCGCCGCTGTAAAGTTTGTGGAGGGCGCCACCGCGCAGAGCGGGGAGGGGCTCTGTGCCACAACAAAAACACAAGAATCACCTACTATACACATCGGATCTTTGCACAGTGACGCTTAGCATCAGTCATATTTGTTTTTTAATTATAACTGATCGATTTGTAAACATCCGGAACACCATTCTTCAGTTTTAAATCCACATTACCACCCACTAAATAAAAGCAACGCCAATCACTTCATCACAGAAGCACCATCAATCAGCACAAAGAACCTTACTAAATCCACCCCAGCCAGCGTACACACTGTACCGTACCCACCGTACCCACCGTACCCACCGTACCGTACCCACTGTACCCACTGTACCGTACCACCGTACCCAACGTACCGCACCCTTCACCGTACCATCATTTTTGAGGACCGTGCCCCCCCACAGAGCATTACTCTTGAAATTTGATAAAATACACCAATCTAAAACAGATTGAAAACAATTTACCCACCATAAACGTGACATTTCTCATTTTCTCGTAGTTTCCCTCCTCTTGTGTTGCCCCATTGTGTTACCCCGCTAGTATCTCCCCCTGGGTTTCAAGGTGGACCTCCTGAGTTCCTCTTGTGGATCCGGAGGGCCTGTCACCCCTATTGTGTCTAATCGTATCTGCTGACACGTACTCATGCCCCATGCTGTTTTTCCATGCATATTAGATCATGTTCTTTCATGTAGGGTTGACATCCCCTGCATGGTAGCCACTAAAACTCAGGCCCTAGACTGAGGGCAGACGAAACGACACAGGCCGAGGAAAACCCGCTAGGCCGACGCTGCTGGGGGGTTCAGGTGGCCGGTGACCACTAGGTTACGAGCCCAAGCCATGCTGGAGCGCAGAAGAAGAGAGACTCTGCGAGAGAACGTGGCTGAAGAAGAGGCTGACCAGGAGGTGGAAGTGCTGAAGGGAGGGCAGATGAAGGCCCTGGAAGATAAGAGGCCAGAAGAAGACCAAATGGCGCTGAGGGGAAAGGGAACACCAAGCCAAGGAGGTGAATTCCTGAAGACGCCCTCACAGCCAACCCTGGAAGATGATATGGGGAGAACTCCACGGCAGGAGGAAACCCCAAAGGAGTGGAAGACTCCGAAGACCCCGGTTGAGACACCCCGGCAAGCAGAACCCCCGACAAGCTCCACAAGAGAAAGGGAAGAGAGAGGAGGAAGAACGGCATCGGCAGCCCAGACCCCCTTTCACAGACCCTCAGGAGCACCTGAGACCAGCCCCCAATGGCCTGGGGGACCCAAGACCAGCCCGACCACGCTCCGACCAGCCAACCAGCCAGAACCACAACCGCTGTTCGACGACGAGCAGTTGAAGAGATATGAAGAGTTGCGGAGACAGGCACCGATGCTGAACCCGCCCCAAGTCCAACAGAGGACACTTGAGGAGATGCGACCTGAAACTCTGAGAGAGGAGGAGTTGAAAAGGTTGAGAAAAAGAGAAGAAGAATTGGAGATGGAGAGGACCATGCTCCTGAGAGAAAGAGAAGAGTTGCAGAGACTGCTGCAACAGAAAGAAAGAGAAAAGAGCCGAGAGAGGCATGAGGAGGAGTTGCAGAGACTGCTGCAGCACTAACAAAGAGACGAGAGCCGAGAGAGGCATGAGCAGAGACTGCTGCAACACAAAGGAAGAGATGAAAGCCGAGAGAGGCATGATGAGAGGCGCCAGAACGCCATAGAAGATGAAGATGTCCAGTATAGGACCCCTGAAGAAGAAAGCCAGACAGCCAAGAAGCTGTTTCAAGACGAGCTTGAGGAGGCTGACAGACCCCCAAAGCCCGAGGCTGAAAGACCCCCAACGGCCAGAGAGGCCACAAGACCCCTGAAGACAGAAGCTGCAGGTTCCTCAAGGCAAGAGGAGACCCCAGGAACGTTGCAGCTGATGGCAATGATGATGCATACAATGACAGAGATGCAGAAGAAGATGCTTTCCAAGGATGGAGGAAAAGAAGGAGAGGGGGGAGAAGCAGAGTACGTCAGAAGCCACCCTGAAGTGCCAAGACTGACGGACTGGAACCCCTCGACAGGTCCGATAGACCTGAACGATTGGTTGGCGTTGATTGAGCCAATCATGGCAGACCTCACAGCCACCTCACACGACTGGTGGGATAGGCTGCTGAAAGAAGCAAGACAGTGGTACCAAGACCACATGGCTTTGAGTCCAATGGACAGGCTGACACACGAGCCACAGCCTTCCAAAGACTTGGACCAGCCCAAGTGGATCCGCCTAGAAAGAAGGGCGTCCACACTGCTCATGATGAGCATCCCTGAAGCCCAGAAGGAGGAGCTGGTGTCGACGAAGAGGATCACAGCTCTGAAGATCATCTGCCACCTCTTCACGACCTTTCAGCCTGGAGGATTGGCTGAGAAGGAGGTCATCCTCAGGTCGTTGGAGATGCCACAAGAAGCAGCAACAGTGGCAGAGGCAGTGAGTTCACTGAGGAAGTGGATGAGATGGAGGAGACGAGCAATGGAGCTTCAGGTGAGCGAGCCTGATCCCTTCCTCTTGCTCAAAGGCTTGGGACGCATCGTCCGCCGACCTTTGGAAGCCAACAGAGAGCTGAATTTCAGGATCAGCTTGGCCAGGTCGATGCTCCAGGTCGACTCGACCCCCACGAAAGACACAGTGGGAAAGTTCTCGACCCACCTCTTGGCTGAGATGGAACAGATAGCACACCTTGAAGGCAGCACGAAGAGCACCAGCAAGGACACGCAGAAGCAAGCACAGCCAGAGGTGAAGGTCAGGAAGATTGAAGAAGGAGGAAAAGGTGAAGGTAAGTCAGGGAAAGGTGAGAGAGCCCCCTACAAGTTCTTCATCACGACAGAAGGATGTCGCAAGGGAAAGGGTTGCAGATGGGCCCACAACCTTGACGACCAGAAGAGATGCTGGAATTGCGGCTCGACGCAGCACTACGCACCAGCGTGTGACAGACCCCGAGAACCCAACAAAGAGGGAAGTCCGGAAAAGAGCGGAAAACCCTGGGAGGGGAAAGGTATGAAGCCGACGGCAAAGGTGGTGAAGAAAGAGGAAGCCACCAAGAAAGAAGAGGTAGCCAAGGAAGGCTCCAATGAAGGAGACAGCAGTGAAGCCATGAAGGGACTGCTGGAAGAGGCCAACAAGATGTTGAAGGCCTTGCAACAAGGAAAGAATGAAGAAGACGAAGGGAAGGAGGTCAGGCTGCAAAAGTTGCAGAAGCAGCTTGATGAACTCAAGACCCTGAAGGTCTTCAGGATCTCCAAGATCCACACAGAAGAAGGAGACTATGGTCTTTTAGACTCTGGCGCGACGCACGCCTTGAGAGGAAGACAGCCAGGAGAATCACTCAAGGACTTGACAGAGGTCCGAGTGACGTTGGCCTGTGGTAGAGACGCCACACTGAAGATGACAAGAGGAGGAACAATGCTTGGCCAACATGAGGAGACAGAGCCAATCGTTCCACTTGGAAAGATGGTCAGCCAGCTCGGCTGTACGGTGGAATGGGATGAGGGAAGCCTTGTCGTGTTTCACCCAGAGAGGGGAAGACTGGCCACAACACAAAGAGGAGGATGCCCTCACATCCCAAGACCACTGGCCTTAGACATCATCCAGGAGCTTGAGGAGAAGTCTGGATGGATGAAGAAGATGAAGACCAAAGAAGAAGACGAAGAAGATGTCTTGAAGAAGATGGTGGCCGTTCATCCGGTCTTCAGAGACCTGCCAGAGGAGGTAAAGAAGGAACTGGTGGTGATGCCATCAAAGGATTTGACAGCCCTTCCAGGGATGAACCGTAGACAAAGACGGAAGATCCAAAGGGAAGGAGCCACTCTGCACCTGTTCGCGGGGGAGGACGACGGATTCACCCTGGGCCAGGCAGTGAAGAGTGCAGGCGGCGATGTCCAGACTCTGATAGAGCTGGATCAGAAGAGAGGACCTGGGCATGACCTGATGAGCTCAGATCCGTATGCCACACTGTTGAGGTTGGCATTTGACAACAGGATCAGAGGGATCCTAGCAGGCCCAAACTGTCGCACAAGATCAGTGCTGAGGAACTACAGGATGACACCAGAGTGTCATGGGCCAAGACCGCTTCGAGAGTGGGGTGGTGAAGAATTTGGCAGGAGAGACCTGCGAAAAGATGAGAAGACGAAGGTGTGGCAGGACGATGTCATGCTCTTCAGGACGCTGCTGTTGTACATCCTGGCAGTCCACGTCGAGAAGACAAAGGATGAAGAAGAAAAAGAAGAAGGCACCAAGAGAGACGCCAAGACAGAAGAACAGAAGACAGGAGGAGAGGGATGGAAGAGGATCATCCTGGCTCTCGAGCAGCCGAGTGCTCCTGAGTACCTCCCAAAGACGGTCTCCTTCTGGTGGACGGACCAGTGGAGAAAGATGAAAGAGATGTACGATCTGCAAGAGATCAAGTTTAACCAGGGAGACTGGAAAGGAGAAGAAGGCGGCAAAGGCTGCATAAAGCCCACAACGATCGGCGGGAACGTCGAGATCAAGGTTCCAGAAGAGAGGAACCCAGAAGCCAAAGGAAGATCCCAAGACAGGGTCCAAGACTCAAAGAGCCTGAGCCGATGGGTGCCGGGTTTGATGAAAGAGCTGGCGAAGGAAGTGGTCAAGAAGTGCCAATAAAGACCCGTCCAGCTAAGGCCAATGTCATGGGAACAACATGTGAAGCATGGACACGTCCCGTTCAGAAGAGACTGCAAGATATGTCAGGAGTCTGGGGCTAAGTCCGCTCCACACCGGCGCTTGAACGCCAAGAAGGGACAATTCCCAAGAGCGGGAGTGTTGTCGGTGGACACCACAGGCCCACTAGTGAAGGGTGAGGACCTGATGGGAAACAAGATGAGATTCCTTCTGGTGGGTGCATACACATGGCTTGCACCAAAGGATTCACCTCTAGAAGACAAAAGGAATGAGAGAGTTCCAGAAGAGGAGGTGGATGCGATCGAAGGGCTGAGGATCGATGACAGTGAAGGAGAGGCTGATGATGAAGCAGAACACACAGAGGAGGATCCCCAACAAGACCCCCCTGGCAACCCTGAGGAGCCCCAAGGTGGTGAGAGAGCCATCAACCCCCAGGAGCCACAAGAAGCAGCCAAGGAGGAGGTGGATCAGCCAGAGGACTTTGAAATCAAGATTTTCAGATTGGTGACTCCCTTGCCCTTGAAGGCGGGGGGAGTAGTCCTCCAAGCAGTCATCGACATGATCCTCAAGCTCAGATCAGATGGATTTGATGTTTCCCAAGTCCACTCCGACAACGGAGGTGAGTTCACCTCAGATGCCATGAGAAGATGGATGAAGGCAAGAGGATACATCCGAACATTCACGGGTGTCAGCAACCCACAATCAAACGGCAGAGCAGAGAATGCAGAGAATGCCGTACAACAAGTGAAGACACACATAAGAAGATTGCTGCATCAAGCAGGGTGGTCCGAAGACCAATGGCCACTTGCAGCGCGCCACTGCGACGAACAGTTGCGCATGTGGAGGTGTGGACTGAAGCAAAAATTTCCACCACTGGGAGCTGAAGTCCTGGTCAAGAAGAGGAGGTGGAATGCGCAACAGTTCCTGCCAACAATGGACCGAGTGACATACATCGCTCCATGTTGGGAAGGTCACGGTCACTGGGTGAAGCAAGAAGACGGGACGACCATCGTAGCCCGGTTCTGCATAGCTGATGTGTGGAACCCCGTGACAGACCACTCGTGGCTGGCAGTCATGACAGAGATGCCAGATCCACTTGAAGAAAGAAGAAGATTGAGGAGAAAGACGCCACCAGAGTTGGCGAAGATGGAGGTTCAAGAAGACGAACCAGGGGAAGAGGGGAGAGACCCTGAACCCAGAAGAAGATCAAGACTTCTGCAGCTGATCATGGAGGAGATGACAGCTCTGATGGAAGACCCCTCAGAAGAGGCCCTGAAGACGACGATGCAATCTGTGGCCAAACTCCGAATGATGATGGAGACGGGCACGAGTGAAGACGTTCTTCAGACGAGGATCGTGGGCCTGGGGGAGGTGATGAAAGACCTTGAAGGATGGAAGAAGCCCATCGAAGAAGAACTGAAGTCTTTGGTGGAAGACAAGATGGCCCTTGAAGCCATTTCCAAAGAGGAGGTGGAGAAGATGTTCAGGGAGGCACACGCCGAAGGAAGAAAGCTGGAGGTGGTGCCAGGAAAGCTGGTGACGGTGGTGAAGCCCGCACCAGAAGGAGGAAAGAAGAAAGCCAGAATAGTGGCGTGTGGAAACTTCACGGCGAAAGATGCCCAGGACGAACTGTACGCGTCCACTGGTGATGCAGTGACTCTGAGGATCATGATGAAGTTAGCATCAGAAAACCAGTGGGACGGAGTCACGTTAGACATCCGTACAGCGTTCCTCAACACACCATGGGAAGACATGGATGTGTTGGTGAAGCCACCCCACTTGCTGATCAGGATGAAGCTGGTCGAAGAAGGCACGCTGTGGCGGCCGACGAAGGCCTTGTATGGCTTCAGAAAGAGCCCAAGGTTGTGGGGAAACCACAGGGATTCCACGATGAGGAAGATGGAAGTCCCACATGAAGGGAAGCGACACAGATTGACACAGCTGGTGTCGGAACCCAACCTCTGGAGGATAGATGAGGTGAAAGATGAAGATGAAGAAGAGGAGAAGCCGAAAGGGCCTCCAAAAGCCCTGATGATGGTCTACGTGGACGACTTGTTCGCCACAGGTCCAACACAGCTACTGAAGGCGCTGACTGAGACCATCAAGAAGGAATGGAACACCTCAACTCCAGAGTGGATCAACGAAGATCCCACAAGATTCCTCGGCATGGGAATCTCCAAGACCAAAGGAGAGGATGGTCTTGAAGTCTGGGCAGCATCCCAGCAGGACTATGTCAAGGAGTTGCTGAGGAGGAACGTGGGGGAGGATGAGAAGAAATGGCCCAAGAGAAAGGTGCCAATCTCCAAGGATCCACCGGCTGAACACCAAGAAGAGCCAAAGGTGGAAGGAGTCAGGAAGGCCCAGAAGATAGTGGGCGAAGCACTCTGGTTAGTCACGAGGACCAGACCAGACATGATGTATGCCTTGGCGAAGATGGCCAGCCAAGTGCTGCATCAACCCCAGTGGGTCGCAGAGAGCGCATCCCAACTGTGGGGATACATGGCTGCCACGATCCATGAAGGGATCACCTTTGAGAAAGGTCCATCATGGGAAGGATGGGAAGAGCAGTCAGGGCTTGCTGTTTATGCTGACGCAAGCTTCGCACCCTCAGGTGAAGAAAGTCACGGTTCAGTGATTGTGACTCTGAGGGGAGCCCCGCTGCTATGGAAGAGCTCAAGGCAGTCGACGGTCAGCCTTAGCACAGCGGAGGCAGAGCTGAACGAGCTCATAGAAGGATTGATGATGGGGGAAAGTGTTGCAGCGATTTTGGAGGAGCTGGAACCCCACATCATGAAGATGATGGCATCAGACTCGCAGGCAGCGGTGAACATCTGTCTGGCAGATGGAGGAAGCTGGAGGACCAGACATCTGCGCTTGAGAGCAGCGCATGCCAAACAGAGATTCACCAAAGGAGACTGGCTGCTGCGACACGTGCCAGGCGAAGACATGCTGGCAGACATGGGGACGAAGAGCCTGACGTCAGCCAGGCTGGAAAAGCTCAAGAAGGGGCTTGGCATGAAGAAGATTGGAAAAGATGAAGAAAAGAATGAGGAGCCAGAAGAGAAGACGGCACCAGAAGAGGCAAAGAAGATCAAGAAGAAGGAACAGGGGACCAGAGTCCCAAAAGAAGTAGAGAAGGCACTCCAGTGCGTGGCGTTGATGATCGCCATTCAGGGAGCCAAAGCTCAAGATGATGAGGAGACCGAAGAAAGGGCAGAGATGTTCCACATTGAGCTGATTCTGATGTTTGCTCTTGTGGGAGTGGTCTCAGTGATCCAGAGGATCATCCCTTGTCTGATGGGCTGGCTTCGGAGAGACCGACAGCCTGAGGAAGAGCCCACAGAAGAAGAAGGAAGCAGGGTGAGAGGAGCACCCACAAGACGCCAAGAAGAACAGGCGTTGAGGACCCCAGAGAGCATCAGGAGGAGAAGGAGAGTGGAAGCCAGGGATGATGAAGACACAGAGGAGGAGACAGACCCAGGCGTTCCATTCCCTCACGGAGATCGTGATGGGAACCTCTTCCTGAGGAATCCACCGGGCCCAAAAGCACCGCCAAGACAGCTGGCACACATGTATCCCATGCCAAAGGGACAGCAAAAGGGCCAGCAAGCAGGCCAAGCAGGCACACAAGCAGGCCAATTGGGCCTACAAGCAGGCCGACCGGGCCAACAGGCAGGCCAACAGAAAGGCCGACCACAACAGGCAGCTAGCAGCAGCACAACACCGGTGCACATGCTTGTGCCACCACCACCACCACAAGAGCCAGGCGCAGAGCCACCACGGCTGGTGGAAGAGTTCTTCCAAGGACTCGTACAAGAAGAACACGAGCACCCAGATGATTGGGACCCGGAGATCCATGGGCAGATTTACCCAGGGAAAGGAAGTTCACCACAGGCATACTTCCAAAGGATGGCCGAGAAGGGTCAAGCCAAAGGGAGTGAAGAAGGAACGCCGATGAAGGGCGCCAAAAAAGGAAAGAAAGGTGATGATGAGATCGCGCAGGCCAAAGGCGCGAAAGGAGAAGGAAGCCCACAGAAAGGGGCACCCAAGGGCCAAGGAAAGAAAGGCCGGGCAGAAGATGAAGAAGTCCCAGAGAAGGGAGCACAAAAAGGAGGAGGAAAGATGGCCGAGAACGGCGAAGGAGATGACGAAGCAGCACCTCCAAGAGTGCCAAGTGACGAACATGGCGTGGCACTGCCGGTGTACATCACGCCATGGGGCACAAGATTCCATACAGGGGTCACCTGCCCGACTTTGGCGAACTCTGGATGGATGGTGAGGTCGCCGTGGTGCCCTCTGTGCTGTGTCGGCCTCCAGCCGAGCTCCGCTACCATCCTCTACTCAGAGGGACCGGGAAGAACGGTGCATATAGCCGACGAGAATGCGCTGGGCCGATGCAAGGCTACCCCACGTGCCAACGATGCGACGGGTACCAGAGGTACTGAGAGTGGCTTGAGCTGAGGGCACAAAGATGCCGTGCGTAGACCCCAGACCAATGCTGGGTTGCACTGGTAGGTTTTGATCCGGTGGCAGTTGTCACCGAAGATGTCTGGATGGAAATTCCCGGACATGCTAAGCGTAGGTGGTTGCAGGCCTGACGGTCTGAAACCAGGGGAGTGCTGACACGTACTCATGCCCCATGCTGTTTTTCCATGCATATTAGATCATGTTC